GCGAAACAACAAACGTTGTTTGACACAGTGCCATTGGAGGTCTATTTATAGCCTAGCGGTGACTACCCGAAAAAGTACCATACTTTATGACGGTATGACCTGTCTTTGAAAGGTTTAAATAAGACAAAATAGTTTTATTCAAATATACGGATTGGAAATATACAGTGTTTTATTTTATGTTGATATTCACTGTATACCCTGATGGGATACACATGGAGAAAGAGACGGTTGGTTCGCCATACGTCCGTTCGAAACAAACTAGGTAATTTCTGGACTAAATATCGCTCAATTTTATTTTAATAATTCACTTGCGCATAGAGCTCTTTAGCAATGGGAGGACCCGGAGAAAACCCACGAGATTGGACAGACGTCCTTACTCCTTGTCACATTCACGTACAAGCGCGGAATCAAAACCAAGCTACTTGACTATAATAACACCTTCTGATCCAAGCCGCACGCATTAATCCCCCCCCCCCCCACCAGACATATTTGGGGCACGCTAAAGTGGGGCCGCACGCATTAATCCCCCCACCAGACATATTTGGGGCACGGTGGCTCAGTCAGTAAGACGTTGGCTGGTGATTCCGGCCGAAAAAGTTCATCTGGAGTTTCCGGCGTGGTTGCAAAGGACGACGTATAGTCGTTCGGCTGAGACGAAAAATCGATGTCGTTAAACCCCACTGCATTTCTTAACATGGGAAGGGTGTGGCACTTTGTTGGTTCAGCACTTAATGATCTGCTCTATTTTGCAAAATGATACAAGGACAGAGAATATCGATTTAATAAAAGGGCGGCAGATAACGAAAACAGATGGCGAAATACTCTTTGTCATCCGAATGGCGAATTAGTCTGATGATCATACCCGGTGTTGGATGAGAATGTTCATATGTATTGTTCGGCATGGTTTTCTCGGTGTCCTCGGGTTTCCTTCCACGACGCACAAGCGACCCCGAAAGAATTTTCTGAGGAAGAAAAAGCCAAGACAAAGTTGCTATTTGTTACAAGTCAAACTTAAACAGTTTGTGACATTCTAATTTCAGTCAGTTTCGGCGTGGTTTCGATTCACCTGCTGTATGTGACAAGGAGTAGGGTCGCCTGTCCAACCCCATGGGTTTTCTCCGGGTCCTACCACTGCCAAAGTCTAAAGACCCCGACGCGCAAGGGAATTATTCAAATAAAAAAATCGAACCCTATGTGTTAGTCCCGAAATGACCCTCTCTCTCTCATTCCAATTTCATATGAGGGAAATTTTGCCCGGATACGCCAATGTATACACAGGTCCTCGGTTTTTTCGTCCCATCCGAGCGACTACACAGCTGTCCTTGTCAGGCCCTCCGTCCTGCACCACTGACAAGGGGAATAGCCGAAACAAATTATGATCATGCCTAAAAAATGTATCGTTTAAGTGTACACAGAGACGCGGCATGCGAAGCCGGTCGCTTAAACAAACATTCATGATTCCAGAAAAAATGTCACTGTGTATTAAACTGACTTTAAATTTTCTAAATTTTATACCGAATTTTACCCCTTAGTCAATTTTAAGATATTACAATCTCATCCCTGGCTGGTACGTCTATGTGAGTAGATATAAATGAATTATATGTTTGACAATAAAACACACGGCTGAGAAAGAATTGTAGGCTATGAGTAGCAAATGAATACGGGATGCCAATAAAGAAATGACGGGGGGGGGGGGCATTTCAATGGTTAGCACGTGCGCGCTGTATCATAAGGTCTGTCATTGAGGTCTCTCCCTCTCTAGTTTGAAATGGAAGGTACAAATAGAAATATACGGGTGGCAAATATAACACGCAGTTGGAAATAAAATGTATTGGTAGAAAATGAAATATACGAAGGGTATATAAATAGAACTTGTGGTTGGCAGTGAAATAATATGGGTAGCCTACTCCTCTGGGTGGTAGGCGGGCGGGCAGATCAGGTAGAACAATTTCAATAAGCCTCTGTTGCTTTCGCAGGAATGAAATTAGATTAAGTTTGTATTTTATCTACTTTGTGATAAATAAAAGTGCAAAGAAATGCGTTTTCAGTGCAGTATTTGTAAAGATACAAAATTTCACAGAATACGGAACTTTTCACATGTGTGCTACTTCCATCTACTCAAGATGTCGGTTTCGCTGTCTACGCTTCGCTGTGAACGAAGGTGTTCATATGCTCTATAGAGCTTCAAATAACAAATGACAATTAAAAAGGGATTCTTGGTCTGTATTTTGAATAAAAGCACAAATAATCTGCAAGAATGTTAGATTTATTATATAACACGAATGGCGAATAACCATCCTTATGGCTCTAGGCTATTCGCCATTCGAATGGCGAATCAGTTCTTCGGGATTTTCCGACGTGGTTTCCCCTTGTCAGTGGTGCAAGACGACGGGTCTGGCAAGGCCAGTTGTCTAGTCGTTCGGATGGGACGAACAGCCGAGGTCCCGTGTACACATTGGCGCGAACGTAAAAGGTCCCTTGGCAGTTGGAATTCGATATAAGAGCAGACCATAGTGCCGCTGAACGGGCAAAATATCCTCATAGCACACTGTATGGCGTATGCCCGTCTTCATCCGCCCAGTCATTAGCAGAACAGTAGAACGTTAAACCCCATTTCATTTATAAGCTGAGGGATAAGCAATTACTCGATGCTTTGTAGAATGTAAAATTAACTAATAAGTGTAATTTATTCCAAAAGGTACCAGACAATTGAATTGCGTATAACAAAAAGAGAGCGAGAGAAATGGGGTTTAACGTCCACTCGACACAAATTAGGTCATTTCGGGACTAACATATGATTTAATTTTATTTCAATAATTCGTATACGCGTAGAGGTCTTTAGTAGTGGGAGGAAACCGGAGGACCTGGAGAAAACCCACGTATAACCGGATAATCGAAACCACGCCTGCTGACTCAATGTCAGACCTTATGATACAGCGCGCACACGCTAACCATTCGGTCATCCACCACCCCCACCCCCATAAACAAAACCAAACACCCGTTTTAAGCTAAAGTCATGAAAGAGTTGCGTCCCTTCCTGAAATAAATCCCATAATTCATGCATTATTTATGTATCGTGAACAAACATGAATCGTGAAATGAAATGGGGTTTAACGTAATACTGTTCTGGGCCGACTGGGCTAATTAAGACGGTCATACGCCATACATTGTGCCATGAGGGAAACTCTTGTATCGAATTCCATCTGCCAAAGGCCCTTTTACCTATACGCTAATGTGCATAAAGTTTTCCGTCCTATACGTTGTTCCTTTTCTCACTATAATAGTTAAACATTAGATAATGTAAAGGAAATTTGCTGAAAATTTCAGTCAAATTGATTCACTGATCAAACTAAATCGCGAATTTAGCGATTGAATTTTGGGCCTAGCCTCGACCATCATTACTTAAGTCAATACGATAAAAAAAACATATTCTCGATTATCCATTTTTTAATTTAATCATCAATGAGCTTTTAGCAGCAGATCGGATTCTAATCCCGTAAATATCGCCGTCTAGCGATGACATCGAGAGTTGATTGTGGTCTGGATAAGTTAATTAATGTCTAATTAATAACTTCGATGAATTTCAGACCCAAAGAAATACCTGCGGTAATGTATGTTTAGTGCTTTGTGCAATGAAATTGAATCAGAATTTCATCCTATTAATGTATTAAACATACATTATGACGTCACATTAATAATGACGTCATTGTATTAATCATATTAAACATACATTATGCAAGAGCTAAATCTGTCTATTGCAGCTCTTTTTTTATACCTGAAATGTTATATAAACTATTAATTAGACATTTCACAATTTAACGATTAAATGGATGATCGAGACTATGTTGTTTATCGTACTGACTTTAGTAATGATGATCGAGGCTTGGCGGAAATTTCAACCGCTTAGTTCTCGGTTCATAGTTGATCAATTTGAATGAAATTTTCAGCAAATTGCCTTTCCATTATATTGCTTCAAATCTTTCTCAAAACATTGCATTCGTCAGGGAATGCCCCTGCTGTACAAAATCTATTAAAAGAAGTCATGTTTGTTTCACGTGACTTGGATGACGTGGTACCTAGGAACGTGTGCGAAGCCGGAGGAGTATTCATTGCATATACAAGACGATGTCATATTTAATCGCTGTGCATTTATAATTAAATTATCGGAGTATGCACTGCCCATATCCTTTTCCGTGTTCTTTATCTCAGAAACTTACTTAGGTTCGTTTAAGCTCACCATCAAGTTTATCAACATATACATCAAGCGCTAACTAACGCATACATAGTCTCGGTCACCCAGAACCTCCTAGTCTTCAACATACGGAGGGTCTGGGAAAGTTGTCAATATTTGACGTAAAGTCCATTGCCCATGCGTAACCGGGAGTTTGGTTTTTAATGTGGTTGATTATCCAGTCTCTTTAGCCAAGTCAAGTAAGAGTTGCGCCCCTTCCCAAATAAATCCCATAATTCTTGCATTAATAATATAAACAAACATGAATCGTGACGACGAATTAGGATTAATTTTGAAAGCATAGATATGGCCCATGAAGAGAGAAATTTTACAATAATAAATTAAGAGTGTTAGATATTGAACTCGCATGCAATCACATGGATTTTTTGAAATGACATTCTTAAATTAATTTCATGGGCGTAAACATCTTGTTTAAATGGAGTTACCTCCCTTAGACAATGTAATAGACCGGATTATCTAGCCAATTTTTCTCAAATGTTGACAACCCATCCAGACTAATATTCGTAGAATATTTTTCTGGATGATAGCGACTAACGCAGACAATCTTCGCGTGCAACCTTTGACATCACTCGAGCAGACATCCCTAAACGTCAGGTTGCCGGTTAGGGAAATCCTTACATTTTTGTCCCGTATGCGCTCCATAGGTGTTTTTCAGGGAATCCAGTATTTTTCTAGTAAGATTGGATGTTTCTACTTTCCATATATACTTTTATTGGAAATAATCACCCGATGAATACTTTTGTGAGAAAATAACTTTAAACATTATTAATTAAAACAACATGATATTGCAAACGAGAGATGTATAGGATATTTTTTTTATCAAAAATAAATAATATTTTATCAAAGACAATGAGGTACATTGTTGAGCTTCGTATTACATTGAACAACTAAAGCTATTGTTTGATTGGTTAATAGCCAGCTGGTTTCCCGCCTTTTCTCTCATCAGACACCGCGTACAGTATTTTATCTTTGACTTGAATGACTTGCACCACTGACGTAGCGGGATTAAAATACGTCACGTTGTGTCCTAAAGCTTTTAATCCATCTAAATAGACCTGAAAGGGGAGATAAGTGGAATTATAGTAGCATACAATCACACAACAATATTTATATGGACTCAGACTAGCAATTATTTGCCCATTGACTTCAATGTTAAATGGCTATAACACATCACAGGCTGTAGCTTTTTGCTCAACCTTCCGTTGGTTACAACCTTTATAGGCACATAGGGGACCGCATTTGGCAATCTCCTCATCATAATTTTGTAGGGGATTGACCCTTTAGATTTTTTTGCTACGGGGGATTTGATGTTGACTGGGGTCAAAATCTCACTTCCGACACAATGATTGCTCTGCAAAAAGACACTTCACACCCCCTATCCCTCCAAAACTGAAAGTTTGACCCCTTTTCTCCAATTCTAGACCTAAAAGTCAACCAAAACATGCTGGAAATGGCCGGGAGAAAAAAAAAATTAAGGATAAAATTGTCTATTTATAATTCGGACTACATCATGAAATAAGGGGAAATAATTACTAGTCTTAGTCCATTTAGATATTCTGTTGAATTAAGGACGTAGAAAATGATGGTCAGCTTTCCTGACTCGAGGCGCAAGCCCAAATAACGTTTTCAACTCGGACTGGGAGAGTTGCAGAGATCGGAATTTACACGTCAATGGTTATCGGCGGATTTATTTGAAATTTATATGCGTTGTTTATGCCTATTTCCAAAATATAAACTGGGTTAATTAACGGCAACGCTAGTGTTGTCGACGTTCTAATTTAATGACGTCATTCGGTAGACTACCGCCGTTGAAAGACGTCATTCAGCAGATTACCGCCGTTAAGAGACGTCATTCAGCAGACGATCGCCCTGAATTCCGGTTCCATCATTTGCATTGCCCCTCTCTTGTATCCAGAGGACGAAAACGCCTATCGGATATTTGCTAATTACTTCTAGAGTAATGGACAACGTTCACTTTATGGAGGGTCTGTTCGAAATTTGCTATGCACTGTTCAGAATAGTGAAACTGTGAGTCCCATTGAAATTCGTAATTACATGTTTCGTTTTCTGGCAACGTCTAGTAATTCTACGGCTATGTTTTATGGACTGCCCTGACACCTTAGCTGCTGTGGGCACCTATCTTTTCTTTGAGATTCAGAGGTTAAAAACAGACCGTGTAGACATGGTGTAATTTCGCGGCTCCAAATTCTTAGGCTATGTTTTTACTTTGTATTACCTGGGGAAAACCGTTTTCTAACTGCAATTCTTTAGGTAAAAGTTGATGATGAAATCTTTTCATATCCACAGCTTCTGGTAACGATAATCCTAATCTTAGTGTATATAGCGTTACCTGGAATATATACATTTATGTAAATAATTAAGGCAATTTATTAGTAGCTAAATAGTAAAGGACACATAACGGGAGAAATGTACCACATACGATGGGCTTAATCCTTATACAACAGCCCATATTGTATCCGTATAGAAGAGCCAATACCGTATCCCACTGACAGACTTAATCCTTATAGAACGTAGAGCTCGTACCGTATCCAACTGACAGACTTAATCCTTATAGAACGTACAGCCCATACCGTATCCAACTGACAGGCTTAATCCTTATAGAACGTGCAGCCCATACCGTATCCCACTGACAGACTTAATCCTTATAGAGCGTACAGCCCATATCGCATCAAACTGAAAGCCCATGCCGTATCCAACTGACAGATTTGATCCCTACAGAACAGCAGTATTTAACTGACAGGCTTGATCCTTATAGAACAGCCCATACCGTATCCAACTGGCAACCTTAATCCATATAAAATAGCCAATACCGAAACCTTTCGATGAGTATTTTTACTTTATTGAAAAAATGATCACGAAACCCCGATCAAAAATATTAATAGATTAACGTAGTACATATTGTTTACTTTTGGGAAACGATCCAGTATAAAATTGTAAAGAAAATATTTACCAGTGCTGTTGCCGTGGTGATTTTTGATCCTCCCGCGGCCCCCGGTATCAACACTACGTCAGCCTTACTATCTATTATTATAGCTGGACACATTGATGATAAGGGGCGCTTTAAAGGTTTAATAAAGTTTGCTGGAGACGGTGGGATGCCAAATGTATTCTTTAGATTTGGTGTAGAAAAATCATCCATTGCATTATTGAAGATAATCCCTGTACGGGCCCCTTTCACCTTTGACCCAAAGCTGAAAAATAATTAAAAAAATGACTTTTTTGAGCAAGTTGACGAGGTTGCAGTTTAGCAGTCAATTGAGTTGCTGTGTTGAATATGAAAAATCCGAAACCCGTAACTAAAAACTTGGTAGTTGGAACAGGGAAGGTGATCCATTAACGCCGCTCTCCTGGGACATTCACCTTCCCTCATATTCCACAGCTAGTCCAGATAAATAAAACTATCGGAATGTTTCCACGAGAAGTTTGGGGGGTTGGATGGCCGAATGGTTAGCACGTGCGCGCTGTATCATAATAATAATAATAATGGACATTTATAGAGCGCCAACATCCAGCTAGATTAGCTACTCTGGTGCGCTGTTACAATTCTCATAATGACAGGGAAAATAGTTTAAAAATCACGAAAGCTTCGTTAAAAAAATGAGTTTTTAGTTTCTTTTTGAAAATGTTTATGTTGTCTACACTTTTCAGTTCAAGTGGATGCTCATAAGGCCTGTCATTGAGACAACTGGCGTGGTTTCGAATCCCCGGTTGTACGTGAGAAGGAGTAGGGTCGCCTGTCCAACCTCGTGGGGTTTCTCCGGGTCCTCCGGTTTCCTCCCACTGCTAAAGACCCCTATGCCCAAGCGAATTATTGAAATAAATAAACCATATGTTAGTCCCGAAATGACCTAGTTTGTGTCGAATTGACGTTAAAATCTCTCTCTCTCTCTCTCTCTCTCTCTCTCTCTCTTTTCCACGAGAAGTCGGATACTTACTGCAAGTTAATAGTACTAGTGACTGATACAGCATTTCCTTCTTTATCTATGACTGATAAATGTGATGTACCAACTGTTTTCTGGTCATAAAATGTTGGACCATAATACATCGTATCAAATGTTCTAATATCGTCTATCTTTTGTCGTATACTGTCACCAAACGCATTTGACGTCATATTCTTAACTAGCTATAATATAAATCATTTGACGTCATATTCTTAACTACAATAAATCATTTGACGTCATATTCTTAACTAGCTATAATTTAAAGCATTTGACGTCATATTCTTAACTAACTACGATATAAATCATTGACGTCACATTCTTGGCAAACAATATTAATCATTATGCGTCATATTTCATACCATGTGGCGACACCTAGTAATATTGACTCCTTCATCTCCATGTGTGGCTGTGTTTTTTAATTATTAAGAACTATCAGAAACTCGCTGTGCTTGACGACATTTTATTTAATGGTAACTGATAAAGATGATATCTAATCCCCAGGGTCTTATATACATATCGATTTTGTTATTACATTCATATGGTTATATGTGTTATATTCTTCGATGTATTGTTACATATAAAGAACGCTTATTTAAGTAATCTATTAATCTACAAATAAATTTACTTACATCAGAAACATTCACAAAACCTAAATTCTCATCGCCCAAGTTTGTTCTTTTAGCATAGGCAAATTTCATGGCTTCTATAATACGATGTTGAGTTAAAACCGTCTTAGCGTCAGTTGACATATCATCTGATGTAAAATTATAACCTAAAATAATTTGAACATTTATCATTATGCATATATCATGGTCATTTATCATTATGCATATACTAACAACAATCTAGTTGTCACCTCACCCTGATAGACGGAGAGAAATAAAAAACTACCGAGAACAAATTGCAAAAGAATTTCTTTCACTGGAATCTAGTAAAGGGGTGTCTAAAGGACTCCCAACTCAAAATTGTCCGCTGAAACCCTGTAGCGTTTTTCATAATTAGCATAAAACCAAGATGGCCGCCAACTGGACTTTCTGGCCTCCATATCAATATGCATATATCATGGTCATTTATCGTTATGTACATATCATGGTCATTTATCATTATCATGGTAATTGATCGTTATGTATATATCATGGTCATTTATTATTATGTATACATCATGGTCGTTTATCATTATGTATGTTTCATGGTCATTTATCGTTATGTATATATCATGGTCATTTATTATTATGTATACATCATGGTCATTTAATCATTATCATGGTCATTTATCGTTATGTATACATCATGGACATTTATTATTATGTACATAACATATCGTTATGTATATATCATGGTCATTTATCATTATGTATAATGGCTGTCTTCATTAACCTCGTGAGTACAGAAATATAAGACGTTACCCCCAAATTCATTTCATTTGTTTTATAATTCTACACCGATTGAAATGAACAACAGTTTTCAGAAACTGATAATCGATGCACGTTAGAGTGATCAGTAACTCTTATGGTAAAAAGACTTTGTATCGGTTATATCCTAGGTACAGTTTTACCCAGTCAAACCGAGACATTCACCCAGTCTTTTGTACAGTACCATCTAATATATTTAATATATATTCATACAAAGTAATTTGTATCCCGTCACGCCTCCCGATCCACCGTCCCCCCTCCCCTCGGTAGTGATAAAACTTATACGTACCATCTAATATATTTAATATATATTCATACACAGCGCCACTTGATGGTAGTGGAACAGAATAAACAGTTAAACCATCGTTTAACGTTATATTAATTGGTCGTTTCTTAACAACGGAATAGCTTAATAAATCTGTTAATGTTATATTACCACCTGAAATATATTAAATAAATTATAAACACAACAGTTAAACAGTACGATTAGCGGCATACTTAAAGATACATTATGCAAGGGCTATACATGTATATGCTTATTGCAGCAGGTCTTTCTTTAGGCCTGAAATGTTTTCTAAAATATTAATTAGACATTACAGAACTTATCCAGACCATAATCAACTCTCGATGCCATCCTTAGCCTGCGATTTTCTTTTATGGATTTCTGGATAATCGAGACTATTATTGTACTAACGGTAGTAATGACGACCGAGACTAGCCTAAAATTGAATCGCTAATATCTCGGTTCAAAGTGAAGCAATTTGACTGAAATGTTCAACATATTCTATGTTTTAACTATTACAGCGAGAACTGTCAGCTCTTTATCTATTCTTACCTAATGCTCCTTTAAGATTAAGTAGTCGGTGTGTTTCAAGCACCATAGTAAAGAAAAAAGAGAGTGAATGAGAAATGGAGATTAACGTCCATTCGACACAAACTAGGTCATTTCAGGACAAACATAATATGATTCAATTTTATTTCACCCAAACGAATATAAAGCCAGACAAATTATCATTCGAGAATCCATCTGTGAAACCTATATCACAGTTCCATACTGCTCTTTATAAAATTTGAGCTTTTGCAAATTTTGCAAATTTGAGCTTTTGTAAATTATGAAAATTTGAGCTTTTGCAAATTTTGCAAATTTGATCATACCTTTATCTTTAATATCCTCTACAATTAACGGTGACAGTTCTCCGTCATAAAACGCCCTTGCTCCTTTATCGGCTATAATTTTAAATGTTTCTGCTAATTTTGGTAGCTTGACCTTTTCGCCTTCTTCTATAGGTTTACCATTCGGGTAATACATGCTGTCAGATAGTAATAGTAATAATAATAATGGTGTAAAATAATACATACAATGCTAATAGAAAATTAATAATTCCAACCCTTTACGGCCTGCTAAAGGAACAAAATAAAGAATTGGCCAAGATATCCATAGACAACAGAAGTGAGAGGCGAATAGAAATGGGGTTTATTTAACGTCCTACTGTTCTGCTCCGACTGGGCTAATGAAGACGGGCATACGCCATACAGTGTGCTATGAGGGAAATTTTACCCGGACAGCGGCGCTAAGACCCACTCTCTTATCGAATTCCAACTGTGGAGGGTTCTTTTACATGCACGTCAATGTGTACACGAAACCTCGTTTTTTTGTACCATACGTTTTCCCTTGTCAAACCCTTCCGTCCTACATCAGTTGGGTTGGATGGCTGAATGGTTAGCGTGCGCGCGCTGTATCATAAAGTCTGTCATTGAGTCGACTGGCGTGGTTTCGAATCCCCGGTTGTACGTGGCAAGGAGTAGGGTCGCCTGTCCAACCTCGTGGGTTTTCTCCGGGTCCTCCGGTTTCCTCCCACTGCTAAAGACCCCTACGCGCAAGCGAATTATGTAAATAAAATTAAACCATATGTTAGTCCCGAAATGACCTAGTTTGTGTCGAGTGGACGTTAAACCCCATTTATCTCTCTCTCTCTCTCTCTCCGTCCTACATCACTGACAAGTGGGAAACACGCCGGTAAGTCCCGATGAACTTTCTCAGCCAACGCAGGGATCGAACACGTGACCGCCAACGCAGGGATCGAACACGTGACCTCCAGGTTAGTGAGTCAACGTCTTACTCACTGAAACCCCATGAAAACGTTAAGGACTTACATACCACACAACATTAGAATTTCAGCCTAAGTAAACAGTTGATGACAGAGCAAAGACAAGCTGTTTCATTTCATTTATTTTTGTAGAATGCGGGTAAAAACAAATTGTATGTGTCGTGTGGATGACCAAAATAAACAGTGGTAAATGAGGGGGGGGGGGGTGTTGATATCAAACATTCACCAATATTGGTGATGGTATATTAATAATAGAATAAATGACTATATATGATGATGGTAGTTCTGCCATCTTGGTTAGCTTAGGAAACCATTCAATCGTTTACTTAATGTAACCGCCCACCCCGAACAGACAAACGAACAGACAAACGACAGTCACAACAATGTATATGTAAAGATAGAGATACATTAAACAAAACAATGGAAGCTCGGAATGTGAGTGTCAGAGTAAACAATGTAACGGTTGCATACCTGAAATTTGGATCATTTGCAATAAGATCTTTTGTCGACTCTCTAGAAATAGATTCATGTAAAGCTCGAGTTACTGGTACCCCGTTTTCACATAAATCTATAGTAGGTTGGACTAGAGTACTCCACTCTAATCTCCCGTAATCTCGGTGTACTTCTTCGTAACCCTTCAATTCTCCGGGAACTGCTACAGATGAGCCACCTGAATACATATATTACAGGTCTAAAAGTTGAAGACACTAAATAGTTCATCAAAACAAGTTATGTTTCGTTTAGAATAACAATTTCTGGTAGGAATTGCAATAAAAATTCAATAAAGCCAGTTGAAACGTTCTGTCCTTCGAGGCACCAGATAACCTTTAAAACTGACAAATTAACAGCAGTCTTATACTATTGAACATCTAGCCTGGAGGTCGGGTGTTCGATACCTGCAGTGGCCGAGAAAGTTCATTCAGATTTTCCGGCGGGGTTCTCCTTTGTCAGTGATGCAGGACGGAGGCCCTGACAAAAACCAAGGTCCCGTGTACACACTGACGTGCACATAAAAGATCCCTTGACAGTTGGAATTCGATATAAGAGTATTCATTAGCCCAGTTCGGAGCAGAACAGTAGGACGTTAAACCCTATTTCATTTCTATTGAACATGATTTACATCAACACTTGTGCTTACTCACCAAGAACTGACGAAGCTTTACCATCTACATACATATCTTCAGTAGCAAACAATGGAGCTATTTCACGAGCATCGACAGCATCTACAGTTCTCGTGTTTCTGAAATACAAAATAATTTATGCAATACTATGGTCTTCAACACTTATAGATAAAGCCTATGTCCACACAGGCTAAGCCAGTAGATTGAAATCCTTATGTATTATATTGAATAATAATAAAAAAAGAATCCGCGCCTATACCATACTATGGTCTTCAACACAAGTAGCTAAAGCATCTGCAAATCCTTCATCTTTCCCATACTACTGATAACAACTTCAGTCACCTTGATTTAAACAAAACCACAAACATTTCCATACAATGGACAGCAACTGAACCATTGGACTATACTTTCCCATACTACAGTCAGTAACTTCTGTACATAAAACACCATTCCCAAAATTAGACAACTTCAGTTCATACAGACTTCCTTGCCAAAGTCATAGAGGAATAAAACAGAAGTAATACCAACCGAGCTATTGAAGACGGACATACGCCAAACTGTGTGCTATGAGGAAAAGTTTGCCCGAACAACAATTGTCAGGGGTTCTCTTACGTGCACACCCGGGTGTACACGGGGCCTCAATTTCCGTCTCACCCGAACGACTAGACGCTGTTCCTACCAGTATATAAATCCCTCACCTATCATAAAGAGTCATAAAGAATCCACCACCAATACCCATACTATGGGCAGCTACAACACCACTACATAACAAAGCTGCTATAGCTCCGTCTACTGCTGTTCCATTATGTATTAATATCATATCACTGAAATGAAACAAAATAACACATATTAACATCATTCTTTATATGATTGCCTCATATAAAACATCGAGTAATAGTACCCAAGGCAGGTTAATACGTCACTTCTCATTCGTACCAGAAACTCAGATTAGTGTTGACGTAACCCGTCCAAGACTATTTTTGCGTCAGTGTTGCTAGCCTCATACGCGATCTAGTCACCGCTCGTGTTCAGTTCTCCTCTACGGTTAGTTTATCCACATTCCCTCCAGTAGAACACCTGATACCATCTCCCATTTCCTTATTCTTTCTAGTAGAACACGTGATAACCACCCCCATTCCTTAATCTTTCTAGCAGAACACCTCATACCATCTCCCATTTCCTCATTCTCTCCAGTAGAACTCATCGCCCTATCGCCCTATTTCCTTTATTTCTTTCTTGGATGCAGCTATGGCGGGTGTGGCGCCAGGCAGGGTAAGCTTACTCTTTTCGACACCTGTTACCACTGTTTGTCGTGTATTTTGTACAAGGTGAAAAGTCCATTTGCTGATTACACCATTTTGCCTATACCGTTTTTTTTAGGACTTCGAATTTTGTGTGATGGTTTGGATTGTTCGTACTTTGTTTTATTTTATTTCTAGCAAAACAGGAACTGGGCCCAAAGGGCTAACCATCTTGCTGTTGTCGTTCTTCTTGAGTACGACGCTCTTGAAATAAAGCCTAAGGCTTTACCATCAATTCGTACAGGCTTATGACATCACTATTCCAAGATAGCGGAGATGACGTCATGTTAGGTTCCTGGTCCATTTTGTACTATTGTGCTTGTTTTAAATATTACACACAAAACCTACCTCCCGATTTTTGAACATACTTCTGCATCTGCTGCTACTGCTGCATATCTGTAAACTCCTTCTGTTGAAGTGACCACTGTTTTATCTTCCGATGGACACTGGCTTTCAGATTGGTGATGTCTATGAAGTCCTACACCTAATCCGATCGCTAATCCAACAGCTATTATCAAACATCCTCCAACTATTACCAAGATAATTCTTCTGTTGCTACTTCTGAAAAAAATAAGGCAATTATCATCTGAAATTCTAACAAAAAAAGTAAATGCAAAACATTAGACATTTTCGGACATTAACGAATGTTCAGTAGCTTGGGATTTAGTTGTATTTTACGCTTAAACTCACAAAATGTCACAGTTTTGTTTTTAAAAAATACATATTTTGACATGTTTGGCAACCCGTACAACTACATTTATAACAATAAACTATAAATCATACTTATGGTTCAATTTCATTTCAATAATTGGCTTTACCCGTAGGAGTGTTTAGCAGTGGAAGGAAACCGGAGCACCAGGAGAAATCCCACGAGATTCGACAGGCTACCCTACTCCTTGCCACGTACAAGCGGTGGATCAAAACCACGTCACTTGACTTAATGACCGACCTTATGATCTTATGAGCATGTTTTAACACCCGATTAGATTTTATTACATACTTCGATATGGTATTGGGGGGTTGGATGGCTGAATGGTTAGCGTGCGCGCGCGCTGTATCATAAAGTCTGTCATTGAGTCGACTGGCGTGGTTTCGAATCCCCGGTTGTACGTGACAAGGAGTAGGGTCGCCTGTCCAACCTCGTGGGTTTTCTCCGGGTCCTCCGGTTTCCTCCCACTGCTAAAGACCCCTACGCGCAAGCGAATTATTGAAATAAAATTGAACCATATGTTAGTCCCGAAATGACCTAGTTTGTGTCGAGTGGACGTTAAACCCCATTTCTCTCTCTCTCTCTCTCTCTCGATAAGGTATTTGTTGAGTAATAAAACCTTCTAGTAGTTTATCGAGGGCTGGCCGTCCTTACCGCACGGTACAAATAAAACCTTCTAGTAGTTTATCGAGGTTCGGGTGATTCCGGAATCCAAAATGGCCGCTTTATATAAATGAGAATTTTGGGGATAAAGACTGAACTTGGGTCTAATTTAGTTTTTACTTCTCTTAAAAGGGTTAGGGTTCGGGTTAGTATTCCCCTAAATACTCATTTGTATAAAGCGGCCATTTTGGTATGACTTCTGGCTTGTTCTGGAATTTTTTGCTTCTAGTGGTGATAATATTTGTACCGTGCGGTAAGGACGGCCAGCCCTCGATAAACTACTAGAAGGTTTTATTACTCAACAAATACCTTCTCGGAGTATGTAATAAAATCTAATCGGGTGGTTTTAAACCATTCAGCCGCCCCCCCCCCACCATCCACAATTATTGGTAGTTTTTATACTTACGATTTGGAATTACTGCCCATATTATATGCTTCGTTCTCCATTCTAAAAATTAAAAATCAGATAATATCAATTCATGAAAACAAATGGAAACCGAATAATCAACAAATTTCGTTTTGGTAAAAAAAAAAAAAATCACTTGTACAAAGTCGTCTATTTCTCATTCTCGTCCAAAAGTCTGTTTTGCGTTTAATGCGAAAAGTCAAAAACGTGACTTAGATCGTTCTTCCCCTGGACTCGTCATATGAAGAACGGACAACTGTTTAATGATTTGAATGAAATTTTCAACATAGTCATTTCTCGTCATCTATTTTTGAATTATTATATGAAGAACGGATAACTGTTTAATGATTTGAATGATAATAATTTATCCTTGATAAGATATAAATCATGTATTTCTTTGATGTGTATATGTCGCACATTAGTTAAAGTTAGATGTATTTGATAAAAGGGTGGTTTAATCATCATATGCACTACATTACTGACAACTTATTGGATCACAGGAAGAGAGAGAGAGAGAGAGAGAGAGAGAGAGAGGTTGACTTTCGCTCGACACAAACTAGGACTAACATATGGTTCAATTATATTTCAATAATTCGCTTGCGCGTATGAGTCTTTAGCAGTAAGAGCCCCCCCCCCCCCACACACACACACACGCCTTCAATCCGGCTCTAGGTATATAGTTCTACAGCTGTGTATTAATTTATAGTACTATTACTTATCTTTTCGATTTACCATATCACTTTGGTTCAGAGAAAACCATCTCACAAATATGTGTTAAAAACTATGAGATAGTACCGTATTAATTCTGTGATATCTAAGTTGCCGAGATATCACTCCCGGCGGAAGCTGACGTTAAATAAATAAGTTCGCACGGCTGTATAAAATATTATCATTTATAGTAGATACCTTATCTATGGAATTCACTACCCTTGTCAGTTCGGCTGACTAAGGCTAGTTTCAAATCTCCGCTTAAAACTCATCTGTCGGGAGTAGAGCAGTACCTCATTTCATTTTAAGTGGGCGTATTCTTGTCAGTAGTAAATGGATTTGTTCAAACTTGAAGAGCGCAATAGAAACTGCCATAAAGTATTTTTGCGCTATATAAATTGAAATGAAATGGTGTTTAACGTCCTACTGTTCTGCTTCTATACTGGGCTAATGAAGACAGGCATACGCCATACAGTGTGCTATGAGGGAAATTTGCCCGGGCAGCGGCACTATGGCCTACTCTTAAATTATATCGAATTCCAACTGACAAAGGATCTTTCAAGTGCATTCCAATATATACACGGTACGCCGGTTATATAGATTGAGAATTACTACTATTATTATTATTATTATTATTTTATACTGCTCACTCGTAGTAATAAAATATGTTCTTAGAATCATCCGGGAGAGTATTTGGTTACTATGGTGTTGAATTACACCAATCCCCCGGGCTGTTTTGTATCTGTCAAGAACTTGAGACCACTAATGTAAAACCCGGCACACTTGTCTGGTCATTTTTAGCGCAAACCTTTGCAAATATAGATACCATATATTAAATACATCAATAAACACTAGTTGATGTGTTTTATACAGGGCTATATTTTAGTTAAAATAAGGCGAATAATTTGAGTAAATTCTCAAGAATTCTGAGAATGCTTTGTGAAACCGGGGCCAGGTCTATAAGATCTTACCATTGTACCCACTACACCCCATGATCTACTGCTAACAACTTTACCTTTCAATAAGGTATACAATGTAACACAAAGTTTTAAAAACATAATCTATAATTATCCTTAAAGAAAATGAAATAAAATGCTGTTTAACGTCCTACTGTTCTGCTCATAATCTGGGCTAATAAAAACGGGCTTACGCCATACAGTGTGCTATGAGGGAAATTTGGCCCGGGAAGCGGCACTATGGCCTACTCTTATATTGAATTCAAACTGAAAAGGGATCTTTTACATGCACGTCAGTTTTCGTCCCATCCGAATGACTAGACAGCTGTCCTTGTCAGGCCCTCGGTCCTGCACCACTGACAAGGGAAACCACGTCGGAAAATCCCGATGAATGATCCTTAAAGATATGACATAAACCAGAGTTTAAAAGATGGGCAGGTAAGGCAAAGGTAGATGATAACGAAATCTGGACATAAGGCACCTGTCATAGACATTGAAAGGTACAACGTATACGTTATAATATACATGTATAATATATATGTTGTATGATAATTTATGACTGACAATTGCCTCATGTCCAGGCCTCAGGATAACTTACTTACCGTTATTATATAAAATCCCTTACGCCCACTGTATGACTAACAACTGTATGAGTACGCTTCCACACAAAGGTCTTGAAACATACAACTAACTGTCTGGCTTTTTACTTAGTAATGGTTCAATGTTCGGCTAATTTACTTACGGAATTAAAATACTCACTGGTAAGCCCACTGTATGACTGACAACTGTGAGTCCGCTTACACACAAAGGTCTTGTAACTGTCTGGCTTTTGACTTAGTAATGGTTCAATGTTCGGCTAAGGCCCAAAAAATTCAGCTGTTGACGGTTATTTGGCCAAATAATAAATAGTACCGGTAGGTCGGATTATTTTTCTTTTCTCCTTTGATATATGTGAGCGGTTTTAGTGCTAAATGATAAGGCCATCTCAATTTTTCGTTATAGATCAAGAGATGTAAACAGGGCTGGTGCTAATTCTAAACCTAACCCCAACCAATGCTTACCTTAACCTACCTACAATCTCGCCAACAATCACGTGCCCTAAACTAATTTACATCTCCTTGACAAAAATTGAGCTGGCCTTAACAAATAGATTTAGCCATGTGGAGCGGTGGCATGGGGTTGACTAAAGGATACATATACATGTAGGTAATTTAATCTATTTTGTCTCGCTACGCTGACAACGCACCCCCAGGCCCCAATATGAATTTCGTATCTTTATTTAAGTGTCGGGGTGGGGTGGGGTGGATCGGGGGAGGAAAACTGAACTAAGACATTAATATTTTAATAATCTGCGGATATCTTTAAGATGTTCTTGTAATTCTGTTTATTGGGGGGAGGGGGTGTTATAGCTAATTCTAACACTATCACGAAATGTTTCAATACAGAAGATGATATTCATATATTATATACGACAATAGAGCAAGAACGCGTGTTAACTATAATTAGGTAATTAATATATTATCACATATAGTAAGTACAAACTCATGCAGTTAAGGGGGAGGGGGAGAGACCAACAATTTTCAACAAGGTTTCCATAAATCTTAAATATATATATTCAGAAATAATCCGCTCTGTAACACAAGGAAGCGAGAAATTAATTTTGATCAAAACCGGAAGTGATGTTATTGGTTCAAAATGCTTTGTAAAGCTAACAAAGATACACTGTAACACTGTAAACAATTATGTAACTAGTCAGTTGAATAAATAATGGAAAGTATAAGACCTTCAGTCTCTACACCAGTCAAATTTACCGAACTAAAACTTTGAATATATAGAGATCAATGAATCAATCTCCATTGTAATTCGTTATGAAATGGGGTTTCACGTTAATGGCGACTAGCTAGAATATGTATCGTTAAACTGTCTAAGACTCCTTACGCACAATTGTCAACACATATCATTACAGTTTGTATTGAAATAAGTAATTCTATCACAAATAGTGAAGGTTGGACCACTAAAATAGCTTGTCTTTGTGTTTATGCGTTCTACATTTTCAAAGCGATGTTTCTCATGTTATAGAATACAGATATTACGTTCAGATCTTTAGTCATACATGTCTTATCACATCTCCCCGAAAAGCCCTTTTCCTGCACAGTTCATTCACATTATAATTATTTAAATATTTAATGGTTTTCAAGATCTCTTATTCAACTTTTATATAGTTAGAGTCGAAACATTAATTGCGGTTTCCTGCAAGTATAGGTTCAGACCAAGTTTAGAAACTAAGAGGGTTAAAAGTTACTTAAAGTTAAAAGTCAGTGTCGTTAGAATATATATGGCAATCTGTTTCACAGTGAATTACGAGTCTAGTATAATATCTCTGTCATAGATGACTGCCTTAACACGTGCTGTCACAGCACGCGGTGTGAATCATTGGCTGAATGGCGCGTGCATTGTTTACATAAGACATAACTGCTTCGGAGAGAATGCTGCATTTTAGTCAATTTAATACCCATTTACACTAAATCGGAAATAATTTTTACCTACAAATACGTCAAACGCCTTTATTTATTTTTCCAATATATACAAAAAATGTTTTAGAATTTAATTTGTCGCAGGAAAAAAGTTAATATTTCTAGCTCATTAAACCGCATCAATGTCATCCTTATCAGTGATTGTCGCGGCCACGCAAATATTCACTGCGGATCCGTGTGTATATATGGGAGTGAGACCCGTCTCTCTTTACTCACTCACACTGTATATACCAGCACCCGAAATAAACGTCAGTTGTTCTTAAAAGTATTTTTTCCTCCAGTTTGTAGACGCTCTAGTACCACGGTCACCCCGTAATGACAACGTAAAGTCGTATATTTAGTATTACTGTGGGACAAGGGTTTCCAGTTGCGCATTATCGGAAGACGCCCCGAGGCTATACAATCTTCCCGAGGCGCATTATTTCCAACGCTTTTAAAAATCAGATTTTTTGTGCAGACGGGTAAAGTGAAAAATGAAAATTTAAATAGTAATTTGAGAGATACAACCTTTTTGCCTTCTAGCCGGCAAAATAAATGCCTGAAATTCCATGATTTTTTGGTCTGGAGCCATTCCGGATTGTGTGTCAATTTTCGGTCATCGATCATTAATTGTATCGTCAATTTTTCGAAAATAGAAATTTCTTTAAATTGACTAATGGATAAAACATTTAAAATCAGTGTAAAATCGGTCTAATCTAAACAAAAGGTGTCTAGCGTGACATGTGTTTCGGGCATATGTTTCATCAGTGACATGTGATACGAGATGTCGCTCTCCGAAACTTTCTGGTTGCTTTTGCAATTTGTTTAGGGCAAGACGTTATCACTCCCCGCCCATGTGTAAATAATAATATTAATCTAATATATAAACCGCACAAATATAACAGATACAAATAATGTACATGTTATTCCACAGGTAGACAGACATTGAAGGGGCTCAATGAAGGAGACGCAGTTGGTTTAGAGTTTGTCCGACTATTTGGGGTATTTGCGCCCCATATCCAATGAAATAATCATGTTGTTCTGATGCTCAACTAGTATCAAGTATATATCGTGTCTGAGATTTGTTACAAATCGCCTCGAGCATGTTCCACACATCTCAATATTTATCAACTTTTTGTTCAATCTATAAAAGCCTACATTCCTACAAAATGTTTTGTTTAGTCAGTCAAGTCAAACAAGAAAATGCATAGGCTAAATGGAACAATAGAACAAGCACACCTTAATGTCGACAAACTATGAAATATGATGAAATGAAATGGGGTTTAACGTCCTACTCCTAACCTGGGCTAATGAAGACGGGCATACGCCATAGAGTGTGCTATGAGGGAAATTTTGCCCGGACAGCGGCACTACGGCCTACTCTTATATCGAATTCCAACTGCCAAGGGATCTTTTACGTGCACGCCAATGTGTACGCGGGTCCTCGGTTTTTCGACCCATCCGAACGACTAGACAGCTTTCCTTGTCAGCCCCAAGTCTATTGCATCTAGATGTTTAAAGCGCGTTAACAATATATTCATTTAAGAGCATCTATGTCATTTCGGGATTAATATACCACATAATGTACCCAACGGAAAGAAATGACGATTAATTAAAATTAAACCATTTTGGATTTCATTTTGCCGGTCTTTTTGAATTTCTAACATCAAGATTTCTCGAAATTAAATTTTTGAGATTATCGCTGGCCTTTTCTTACCAAATTAATGTTTGTTTTTTCATTTATTTTATTTTTTTTTAAATGGTATTCTATTACCAAATTTGGCAGTCATATTGAAAGAAATGCCCGCCACCAAATGACAAATACATTTTTTTAATTGATGTTTGTCGAATTCAATTTTTCCACACATTTCGCTTGCATAACCAATCTGTGTTTGAGGAATTTAAAAATAAATTATTTATCCTACCACCACTGAAATACACTGATTACGAGATATCGCTCTCCGATAATTCCTGAAGAACGCCAAATTGAGTTCTGTTAATCATGTCATTCTTGGTCGATTTTCAGTATGATTCCGACTGACATATTTATGATTGAACCAAACTGCATCGGTTTCTTTTGCAATTTGTTTAGATGACGTCAATGGGCGTCATAGTTGGGATCCAAAATGGCGCCTGTAAATGAGTTATAACTTTCCCTATAAAGGGCTTTGGTCAGAATAGCGCAGTAACGTAGGAACGAATCTGACGTCATTTAGAGCAGGTTATCCAGTCTACTGTTCTGCTCCGAATTGGGCTATGACGACGAGGGAAGTCATATGAACCCGGTATATAAATAATATACACATGAAGTTAAATTTAAAAGTTTATTAATAAAAATAAAACTATTCTATTTTAAACATCGAAATACAAAATAAAAGAAACCTGTACTGTTCTGATCTAAACAATTATTAACAATGAATGCCCCATTAAAAATAAATCACCATTTTGATTACTTATTATAAGTAATTTCAGCAGAAATAATTCAACACTCTTGGTCCCGGGTTGATGAAAGAAGTAACAAGTGTTTTGGCTCGGATTGACAAAGTACATTTATGTTGAAATAGGGAAATGGATTCTAGAATATGGATATGGAATTTAAGTTACGGTGACGAGCTCTGTAACTTAAGATCAAATCCCATCAAGTTTTTTTCATCTAGATTTTGGATATAAGTAAACAACATTAATTGTGTCGGAGTTCAATTTGAGAAAAGACAGATGCAATCTTGGTAAGAAGAACATATCTGGATAGAGCCACATTGAATGTTTGTGTTGATTGTGTCATGGTGTAGACTGCCAACAGGACTGTCATTATATAAGATAATGCTCTCACTATCATCACTGTAACCCAGGTATCATTTAATCTTGTGTATTCAGCATTAATTTCTTTCACATTAGTTTAATATCAAATCTTTGTTTAAAAATTTGTAAAAATCATTTAAAATCACCCAAAATCATCAAATTTGTACTTGTGTCCAGTTTAAAGCTGACTGATTAATTTTGATAATGAGTGTCCAATTTACAAGTATTTAATTTCAATTGGGTTGTTTATTTTTTAACAGTTATCCAGAAATTAAACACTTGTAAATTGGACACTCATTATCAAAATTTAATGGTCAACTTCAAGCTGGACACAAGAACAAATAGGATGATTTTTGGTGATTTGAAACGATCTTTACAGATTTGATATTGAATGAATGTGAAAGAAATTAGTGCTAAATACACAAGATTAAATGATACTCGGGTTACAGTGTATATAGAAATAATGTTCAGATCTTTTATTCCATCAGCTAAATGTTCAATAATACGATAATAACAACTAAACTACTCAATAACAATTTAAAATTGCTGCCATGGAAACTAACAAGGGTACTAATAACAATAACACATAAACTAAACACGCAGATATTGGTGTACTAATATGGTACAGGCACTTTGTGAATCATGCTTTTTCTTTATACAAAATAGTGGTCATATGATAATTTAATAAAGTTGCGTCTCAGCATGGAATTTTTAAAGTAAATGATGAAGATCTGCCAAATATGTCTATTGTACGTCTTTTTTTCGGCCTGAAATGTTATCTAAATTATTAATTAGACATTAATTAACATGAAAGGAACATAATCAACTCTCGACCCCATCTTATGTGTCCGATTTTCATCGTATTTGAATTCGATCTGTTGCCTAACGCTCATTGATGATTAAACACAAAAATGAACAACCCTAGAATCGAGCCACTCCAGCTGACTCAATGACAGATCTTATGATACAGCGCACACACGCCAACCATTCGGCCATCCAGCCCCGCCATATTTATTTGGAATAAATGATATGTTTTATATTAGTCTGTTTATGTACCAAGAGGAAAGATAAGATGGTTTAAAGTGATATTTTTCTTTAGTATATTGTAGTCATGGATATTATGATCAACAGTTTAACACCATTGTTTGCTTTGGTATCATGGAAAATCTTTGGCATGGATATATAAGTACAATACTAAGAGATCAGGAACTAACCACATATTGATTTCAAGTTGTTCCATTATAACTTTATAAAAATTCAGGAACCAATAAAATAAATTTATTTAAAGATGTTTCCTTGATAATAGATAGATCATCTGTTCGATCCACAAAACGTTATTTATAATGACCAGCAAAAATTAAATTAAATTGTAGACAATAGTTGCCTAATAAATCCACACTATATTATTGACAATAATTGCCTAATAAGATGATTTTGTGTTATTTTAAATGACTTTTATGAATTGTTAAACAAAGATTTCATATTAAACGAATGTGAAAGATATTAGTGCTAAATACACAAGATTAAATGATACCCAGTTTACAGTGTTAAGTTCTCTAGCTGGTCAAATTCACTGCTAGTCAGTCAGAATAGGTAAATCTATCTGAATTAATAAGAACCCTACTGCAAGTGCTTGTTCGTTCATCACCTGCAACAGGCCTGCATACTGGCAGTTACCTTAATATAGTTTCTCGGGTAGCATCTCAAAAGATTGGAGGTATTTAAGTAACAAATATATTTGAATCCTAATAATAAGGATACGATCGTAACTGTCAAGGAAACATCTTTTTATTAATAAAATAGTGTTCTTATATATAATATTAACACAAGGTACAATTTTATGGATACACAATTACTTTGTTTAATATTAAGCGACGTTTCGACAAGGATACTCTCGTCTTTATCAAGCAAATAATACGGGTATGTGAATAGTTTAATACTAAGCGACATTTCGCCATACCCGTATCATTTGTTTGAATAAGACGAGAATATCCTCTCGAAACGTCAATTAGTATTAAACTCAGTAATTGTGTACATGTATCTATAAAACTGTACCTTGTGTTAATATGTTTAATTACTAAATGCCAATCAAAGTGTTGTATATTAGTTGGTTAATATCTTTGAGCTAGAATAAATATGCCATTTTAAAAATACAATCATTTGTGTGAAATCAAATGTGAAACTTACAAAAATAATATATAATATTAAAGGTGCATTATGTAAGAGCTAAATATCATTAACTATAATCACAAACTCCTCTAATAATTAATAACAATTAATTAAGTATGACTTCATACTGTACATTTATATATATATATAGACCCTTCTGTTTACTAAATGTCATTGTGCTTGATAACGATAGGAGAATACTTATCGAAACGTGGTGTTTGTGTATAATAAACCAGTGATTGTTGTACCATATAACTCTGTTAGTTCTGGCTTCAAATTTTATATAAATTTTTATTTGAACATTTATTAACATGACAAGACCATAATTCACTCTCTAGATCATCGTATGACTGAGATATTAAATGCATTAGACAATGGCTGCCATATCTTCATTAAATTCTAAAATGCAAAATCAAGACTTTGTATATTCATGTAACAATGGTAATTGACAATTGAGACTACCGGTATTTGCGATTTTTCTTGTCGAAACTTAAAGCATTCAGAATAAATTAATTTGACTGACATTTTAAATGTATTCATTTTACATTATCTATTTTTTAACTATTATTATTATAGCAAGAACGGACAGGCTCTTGTTTCAGAAAACATTTTCAGACCAAAGTTAAGAATTTTCTCAAAATTGTTTGCTTTATTTTAACTAAACTATAGCCCTTTTTAAAACTTTTGTTGTTTTAATATATCAATAAATCAATAAGAAACTATGTGCAAATATTTGTGTTTCTGGATCAAAGATATTTCTCATAAATAGCGATTGAAAATTGAGTAAATTCTTAACTTAAATCTGAGAATGTTTTGTGAAACTGGGGCCAGCTCTTTATCTAAATCTTACATAATGCATCTTTAAGATTTGTTTAAGAACGTATTATTTAATTTCGATCTCTGAGATTATATCCAGCAGCAGAAGAGGAAGACTTTCTGTCTCTCATGGCAATAAAACCACCAGCATGGAACGAAAGAGGTAGACATCCAAGTAGAACAAAAATAAAGTCGAACACGTCTGGTAGTAATCCCTCCACCATCTTACCATACAGCAAACATACCAGAATCAACGAAAGAGCCTAAAAAAAAATCAAATATATGAGAATTAGGAGGTGAGTGACTGACGGAATAAATCTGCTGACTTTATGATGATTTTATGCGCTAGAATTAAACCGCTAGACCCTCCACACACACACTGTTATTAGCCAAGTTGGTGGAGGAAAGTCGGACGTTACCCCCTCCACACACACGCCTTGTTATTAGCCAAGTTGGTGGAGCGAAAGTCGGACGTTAAACTCCAGTTTTATTTCAACCTGTACCCGGTATATAAATAATATCCACATTAAGTAAAATCTAAAAGTTTATTAATAAAAATAAAACTATTCTATTTTAAACATTGAAATCTAAAATAAACAATCATTAACAATGACAGGGGCAACGACAATGGCCTATATGACCTCATGTAAATGTGGGCTTATAAAAAAGGTCGCAACATATAGTATGAAGAAAAAAACACCTCATTTCTACATAAAATCTACCTGTACTATCTATCTGCTAGCATCATCGTTTGACCCAGCAGCCACACAGATCTACCAGACAGCGAGAGAGAAATGGGGTTTAACGTCCACTCGATACAAACTAGGTCATTTCGGGACTAACACATGGTTCAATTTTTTTTCAATAACTCACTTGCGCGTAGGGGGTTTAGCAGTGGGAGGAAACCGGAGGGCCCGAAGAAAACCCACGAGGTTCGACACACGACCCTACTCCTTGTCACGTACAACCGAGAAATCAAAACCACGCCAACTGACTCAATGAAAGACCTTATGATACAGTACACACACGCTAACCATTCCGCCATGCAACCCCCTACAGATTTACCAGTCTCTGCTACGCTTTCAAGGGCGTGTTCTATTCCCCCCACCCCTTTCTCATAATATAAATATAGCTACAATGTACTTACAGTTACTCTAAAGTATATAACAGCACGTTTATCTTCGTTAAATCTGAACGCCCGGGCAAACCAGGTGATGAAAGCAGCACTAAGATTCATACAACCCAAACTAGCAAAAACATGTTGATGCAGATTGTCAGTCCTGGTATTCTGAAATAAAAAAAGTCAAAAATCTTCTTCAGTTCGGCCTGGTTTTCCCTTGTCAGTGGTGCAGGATGGAACTGGAAGGCCTTTCGTCTAGTCATTCAGATGGGACAAAAAAAACAGAGTTCCCTTGTACACACATGCACGTAAAAAAACCCAAAGACAGTTGGAATTTGATACAGTGGACTGTCACATCCGACATCGTTACAATAATTCGGATCACACAGCGATTCGGAATACCGAGCTTTCTCCAAAACCGGAAATACTGTAACTTCGAAAACGGGAAGTACTTTTATATTGTAGCTTCGAATCACCAGAATGCTATTCCCTTTATAAATGATGTAATCGTTTAAAGTAGTTTGCTTAAGATTACCGGAAGGATATCGTAAGGCGGAGTCCTGGACAACATCTTCTAACAAATGAATTGTTGCGATCATCTTTTCGTCCTTCATCTGTGCGAAGTGTTTAATGTCGTTGAGCATGCGTAGGCATTCTGAATAGGTCAAAGGAGCAGAACAGTAGGACGTTAAACTCCATTTCATTCATGAATAGGTCAAGGTCGTGAAACTTTCTCGAAATCTGCTATAAGTTGCCACTTTACATCTAATGTCAAATCTGTTCGGGCACGCTTTGCAGGACGTTCAGACATTTTGAATACAATAATGTATAATGATTCTTCAATCGCGGCAATTTTTATATAATGTCGCGGTATTTGACATGAGTAACTAAAATCAAATATTAAGTTCACTCTTAAAAGAGATTATAAATTGTAAAATTATAATCAACAAAGAATTTATAACATTATCAAAGTAATCAACACAGACCGGCGCTTGCGAGTTTTAATCTCACCGATAATAATTGATTGGTGATTGCTTGTTAATCTTTTCTGGCTTCACACCCATTGAGTTTTAATCTCACCGATAATTGGATGCTTCACACCCACCGTTTGAAGTACGGATTATACGGTGTCGATTCAATGGAAACTATGTGTCAGGACGGCTGATTGATGTCAGAATCCAGAACATACAGAATTCGGATTAACCAGCGATTTTTTGGCTGAAGTAATAAGGAAATAAATCGGGACATGAAAATCATGTCGGATGTCACAGCAATCCGGAGTGATCAGAGATCGGATGTGACAGAGTCCACTGTATAAGCATAGGCTGTAGTGCTGCTGTCCTGGCAAAAATTTCCCTCATAGCACACTGTATGGGGTCCTCCCGTCTTCATTAGCCCAGTCGGAGTAGAAAAGTAGGACTTAAACCATTGTTCTTAATCATCTGTTTTTTGTCGGTTTATAATTAACCTTTTTGAGTATTTCCCACCAGGACGTCATTTTACCCAATTCTGGCCGGTTAGTTTCAAAATGGATTTAAACCCCATTTTAGCTATTCTGCCCAGTTCAGATTTTCAATCCATTAATTCTTATAAATCTGATTGGTTTATTTATAATGTTAAACATTTGTGTAATATTGTGAGCTGTTGTGTGGTTATGGGGTCCAAGATTTTTTTTTTTTTTTACAGTATGCAATTTATTATATGAAGGGAGACAACTCCATTTGGATATTTTAAAAAAAAAAATAGACCTATGGCTACTTTTATAATAACACACACATGATGGGAGATGTAAATGTGACAGTTCAGACCAAATCAGTTATCTATATTGATACGCCTATGAATGGGTTGAACATTTGGGACCTAGAAATTGACATAAATGGATCACAACACACAGAATAACATAATGTAATATATGAATGTTTATAAACTGATTAACATTAAATTTTTACTCTAATTTCAAATGAGTTATGTTTGGCGAAATACGCCAGAAGTATCAATCAAATCGCAATCTCTAGTGCCTGATTATTACAGTCTACACTGATAGTATTTATTGCACATGCTATCTAGATAAGAATATGGAATATGTCTAGCCTCGTTCTTCGAGTCCCTTGTTACAAATGTTAAATATTGAATATCTGAAGCCCATCTTTTCCCGGTAAGATCACAACATCATTGTTGATTTAAATTGATAAATAATTTGTATTTTCAATGTGGAAGACTTTGGATGATATTGAGTAAAAGACTGGATGATATTGTGTTAGAGATTTAGCTCCTTTAAACTCACATCACAATCTATCTATGTTAACATTTTATTGTTGTGTTCGTGTAGGTGAAGATCATTCACGGGTTAATCACTTGGATAGAAGTGGTGAACATTTTGTAACAGTGTCCCGTAGTTAACTTACCATAAAACCGAAAATGAAAAATGGTATAAGTATATCTATAGCAGCAACAACACCAGTGAGGATTGTATCATACAGAAAGTAACGATTAACTTTACTTCCACTGTTTCTACCATTTAAATCCATACCATATCGTACTAGCTGTATAGACGATACTACCAACAACACAGCACTAGCATACACTTCCGTCCATACATGCTGAAATAAATCATACATTTCATTTAAATATAAAACAACAATGAGGTGGATGTACAAGTTATATTTATAGCACCGCTTTTAGGGCTTTTAGGAGTTAACACGTTTAACCAGAGGCTGAAGGCCGAGGGGTTAAACCTGTTAACGAATGAAACGTGCTATAAATGACTTGTAACATTGACAACTGCTCAACATGCTCATTGTTACTGCACAGAAAACCCACCCCACTTCTCTATATGATTTCTACTCAAACAAGTGTAAACCAGCAAAAGTGTGCAATAAAATTGAACATGTCTAGTTATTGCACGGTTAAGTTCCACCCAATCTACTAGAGGGAAATTCAAAACAATCTGTTTATTCAACAAAAAGAACAAAGGAAGATTTCCCATCCATGTTACAAGCACATTTACCGTATCATAAAAGATAGTGAGAGAAATGGGATTTAATGTACTACAGTTTCTGAGATAAAAACCGCAGAAAAAGACGTGGGCAGGGGATAATCAGAGAGTTTACTTAGGCTTTGATATTTATGGTAAATGGACATCGATTAAAGGCAACATAATCTTTATGCAATGAATTCTACTTCAACTTCTCACCCTTTGCTAGTCACTGTTACAGCCAAGTCATGTGACACAAATACGACTTTGTTTAATAGATTTTTTATAGCTTGGACTATTTCCTAGTGAACAATGTTCTGAAGCAAATTTTTGAGCGATTAATTAGTTTGGATATGCTTTTAGTCCAAATATATCATCAAATCACCAAGTTTGTACACGGGAATGTATTTTTAATGAGCATTAGATGAGTTTACTTACAGCACTAGTAAAGATTCCAGTAAATTTCCACTGACCATAAATAGCTCTTACTGTATAAACAGCCAATGCCTGAAATATAATAATCAATCAATCAATCATATAGATAGGTTGCCAGGCAAAGAAACATACAACCACATAGTGTTGACATAGTGTTCACTAGAGAACAAGGGCAATAACTTGGTATAAAAGTAATTCAATATACACATTTAAAAAAGATGAAAGGTTTGTTAATCAATTTAATGTGATATTTTTAAAATTTCATCCATTTTTAATGTAAATTATACTTTGTCATTTAAAGAATAATTAATGGCCTTTTCACTGTCGATACATCCATGTTTTTCTAATTCTATATAGTCTGGGCCAGGGGGTAAATGTTTTCTATGTTACTCCATTTAAACACAGTCGGATCACAGATTAAAACACTTATTTATAAATTTGTGTAAAATTCATATCTTACTTACCAGAGTTCTTGCACAGAGAACTGTTTTGATGACATTCCTGTCTTTAGAGTTTCTGATGAGATAGATTAGAACTGCTGTAGCCACCATAGTACAACCAATCTCCCTCAAGAAATACACATGTAAGGGATCTATTCTTACACCAGTTACCTAAATTAGAGAAACAAAACTTATAAAATCTCTCTACTTTTTTATTGAGATTTTTTTTCCCCTAATCCTATGGTCACCTACATTGACCCTAGTTTTAATACGTAGCTAACCCTAACCCTACATAATGACAAATTAGTTGTGGTTCTTTTCGTCTCCTATTGTACTTGTTGAAATTCTATTCTAATCTTAATCTAGGCCCAAAATGAGTTGAATTCACAACTAAGACTCAGTCTCATCTCATGACCGAGAGGCCCCAGGCCCGTCTCCACAAAGGCAAACTGTACAATAGTTGGTGTCACTGTAAGAGAGCAATAAAAAAGGGAGGATTTCAAGCATCCACCCAGTCACTCTTGCTGAAGATTGCTCCTAACAACAGTGACAAGACAGACTACAGCACAATCCCTCCCAAGATAGGTTGCCAGAAAACCAAAAGATCAGCCAAGAGTAGTTGTCTGAGCTGTTTAATCTTTCGTTTTTGCCTATACCAGTATTGCAGTAATAGAAATGTTCATTTACAATGGTAGGCCTCCTGATAGTCAACAGCAACAACCCATTGCCGGCATTGGAATTAGAAATCATCAAAATTAAAATTATGATTGGATTCATCGTAGCCTCTAGGTCTATATCTTTCCAATCACATGAATTGGCTGTATGCGTATGGTTACAGAAGTCTTGCAACGTCAGATTAGGCCTAGGAGGACTAGTGGCTATAATCAATTATTTATGCATTAAAATCAAATCAATCAGAAAATCACTTTTGAATGCCTTTTTTTTTTTGGCCCTTGCCAGTGCCTTCTTCATTCTTGGTAGGCTGGCTAGATCATGTAGGCCTACCGGTAGATTTTTCATTGAAAATCAGTTTAGGCTTAGCTCAGATTCTTCATCTGATAATAAAGTTAAAAAAACAAAAACAAATCCCATTCAGATTATAACTTTAGAAATTCTTCATAAAGTTTTCAAAAATTCACGCTGACTCTCACTCTGAGGGTTGCCAATTTCAATTTGGTCGAATAATAATCTCAAAATTGTTAAAAACATAAAAAATTCTACGCCAGACAACTAGGCCCTATACAGACTTTTTAACTGACCACCTAAGTCATCAGATGGGCTGCTGCTAACAAAAATTGAAAATGAGTTTTTGATTTGTTACTGTTCAAAATCAAACTGAATGAGTGAGTTCCATACCAGCAAATCAAAGTTCATGACAGGAACAACGATGCATGCTACACCGAAGACAGCTGCCATAAAACCATCAACAATCATCCACGTATTAACATTTTGAAAGGCTAACACCATGAAACCGATCAAAAATGCTGCAGCTCGAACATAATCATAAACATTCGCCATTTCGTCTGTTCACAAATCGTAATAATTTTGAACTGTCAACGTTCCTTCCTCCGCGCCTAAAAGAACGAAAGCAGCGAGGATTAATCACGTGATCAATGTTTACCAACAATAAATGACGCGATCTACCAGACTGCTGGATTACTGAAGCATTGTAGTGTGCGCCTCGATATTTTTTTAATTTTATAATCGGTGTAGGCAAACAAAATTTGTAATAACATTTGTCATATTAACATGACAATTTCGACACTGATGCAATGTATAACTTATGAAAGTTTTAAAGGTTAAACGTCATTCCACTGATGCAATCAATTATAACTTATATTTGCATGAATACACCCAAACCTCGGATCGCCCATTGAGATTTTGTGATGAAATATGCATGGTCATGAAAAATGTAATATGACCGGGAAGCCTATTGCGCAAGTTTCGAATGATTTACGTAGACGAAAAAACAACAACCTATTTACTAGATCAGTGAGATTTTAATGGTGTGTGTACAATTAAAAAACATTTTAATGCCCATTTTTTTTTTTTGCCTTTCTTTTTTATATTCTTGCTTTTATTTTTTTGGCTGGATAATTTAGACTTGTGAGTTGACAAGCATACACCCTATGTAAAAAACAACAGGGCTCATGGATTCAAGAAAGCAAGAAAACATTATCAAACACATTGTTTATAAGTACACACAGGGCGTATGGGTCAATTTTCCTGGAGGTGGGGGTGGCGGGGGTGCTGTATCATTTTTGCCTGAAAAAAACGGTTAGCACGTGCGCGCTTATCATAAGGTCTGTCATTGAATCAACTGGCGTGATTTCGAATCTCCGGTTGTATGACATGTGACAAGGAGTATAGGGTCGTCTGCCCAATCTCGTGGGTTTTCTGCGGGTCCTCCGGTTTCCTCCCACTGCTAAAGAACACTACGCGCAAGCGAATTCTTGAAATAAAATTGAACCATGTGTTAGTCCCGAAATGAGCTGGTTTGTGTCGAGTGGACGTTAATCCCCATTTCTCCCCCTCTCTCTCTTTCCTACGGCAGCGGATGATCCGATCACTGTATTGTACATAACTCACTTTTTACTGACGTATTGCGAATGTTATGTAGATTTCTAAATGTTAGCAAAGAAGTCATATTGTTTTTCGAATTAAGATCCATTATCACACTAAACAAAACTCTTGTCTCTAACTGCGTTCTTTGCAGGGGGGGGGGGGGGGTCAATGTGGCTAAGTGGGTAAGACGCTGGCTCGCTAGCCTGGAGGTCGGGTACGTGGTCGATCCCTGCATCGGCCGGGAAAGTGCATCCAGCTTTTTCGGCGTGGTTCCCCCTTGTCAGTGATGCAGGACGGAGGGCCTGACAAGGACAGCTATTTAGTCGTTCGGATGGGACGAAAAACCGAGGTCCCGTGTACACATTGGCGTGCACGTAAAAGATCCATTGACAGTTGGAATTCGATATAAGAGTAGGCCGTAGCGCCGATGTCCGGGCAAAATTTCCCTCATAGCACACTGTATGGCGTATGCCCGTCGTCATTAGCCCAGAACAGTAGGACGTTAAACCCCATTTCATATCATTTCATTACGGTTACTGCTAAAAGATAAGGCCAGCTCAATTTTTCGTCATAGGTCACGAGGTGTAAACAGGGCTAGCGTTAATCCCAAACCTAACCCTAACCCAGGACCAACAATCACGTGCCCTAACCTTATTTACATCTCAGCGATCGACCTTGACAAATATTGAGCTGGCCTTAACAAATAGATTTAGCTCATATTTACATCAAAAACTCGTATATTATGATTTACATCATCTGAAATAATCATTAATTCTAAATCACGATTATTTTATCATATCTCAACATATACACTGGTTGATAATCGTGTTATCTTTTGATAAACGTGTTGTTATCAAACACAATTATATTAAACAACAATAGAAGACAGGCCATGCGGTGGTTCGGTGATTCAAGATGGAGTTCACACAAACAAAAGCTGACATATTGGATTCAATATTTTACTGAAACATAACAACTGACAAAAGAAGTAGAAAATTCATTTTAAAAACTAGAACTCTGAAAACTACATTTATATGTAAAAATATTTTCTTAAGGGACATAAAGAACTGGCATTTCTCACTATAATAGTTAAAAAACAGATAATGTATAAAGGGAATATGCTCATAATTTCAGTCCAATTGCTCCACTCTGAACCGAGATATTACGGATTGAATTTTAAGCCTAGCCTCGATCATCATTACTAAAGTTGGTAATGATAGTTAAAATCTAGATAATGTAAAGGGAATATGTTGAACATTTCAGTCAATTTGCTCCACTCTGAACCGAGATATCAGAGATTGAATTTTAAGCCTATAGCCACGATCATCATTACTAAAGTCGGTACGATAAAAAACAAAGTCTCGGTTATCCATTTTTGGATTTAAACATCAATGAGCGTTGGGCAGCAGATCGGATTCAAAACCAGTTCAAATCACACACATAAGATGGCATCTAGAGTTGATTAAGATCTTTTAATGTTAATAAATGTCTAATTAATAGTTAATATAACATTTCAGTCTAAAGAAAGACCTGCAATAGGCAGATTTATCTGTTGAGTATTGTATGTTTAAATGCTTCATAAGTATGAAACCATCTCCTGTAATCTCGAAAAACCCTTAAGTCAGATTTTGGTTAAATCTGAGTTAGACCCATATCTGGACTTAGTATATATATAGGTTTCCTCCTTCACTCAAAAGCTTCTAATTATCTTCATCTAAAAAGCCAAATTAAAATTAGTTTTATATTCAGTAGCTTAATCCAGAAACAAAACAGCTTTCCGTTGTTTTCTCAAATTTGCATTCAACAGACTAACTAGGTTATTCCAGATTACAGGAGCCATGGTAACGGGGGAATCAAAAATACGACGTCTCGGGCGGTGGCTCACTAATTATAATAGGCGTTCCGGAGCACTCGGCAGATTACGTTACTCTACATCTAGCCTCGGATTACATATTTATTGGAAAACTTGCCGCTTTTAAAAAGAAGTTATCAAAATTGCGTCGTTCGTTGCGTGTGCAGAATTTTTAGTGCAAAGTTGTCCTTGTTTGAAACAAATCGGATAAACTTGAAAGAAAAACAGCTTCAGACTTTGAAATATTTGTATGATAAAACATTCTTCAAAGGTGTTATCATGGGCAACGCCGTTGGTAATCCGGGAACTTGAAAGTAGTTCCAATAGCGGACTTCGTCATACATCCGAGGGTAGATCTAGGGCCCTGGAATCCGCTGAGGTTTGCCGAGTGCGTTCCGGGGTTCAATCCCGGTGTTGTTCGTGAAAATTTCCCAGGATTTTCCAGCATGGTTTTCCCTTGTCAGTAGTGCAGGACGCAATCTGCAGGTAGCCTTAATATTTACACCTAAACTTATCTGCCAACCCATCACTGAGATATAGACGCTCTCTCTCTCTCTCTCTCTCTCTCTCTCTCTCTGGAAGGCCTGACAAGGACAGCTGTCTAGTCGTTCAGATGAGACAAAAAAAACGAGGTCACGTGTACACATTGGCGTGCACGTAAAAGATCCCATGACAGTTGGAATTCGATATAAGAGTAGGCCGTAGTGCCGCTGTCCGGGCAAAATTTCCCTCATAACACACTGTATGGCGTATGCCCCTCTTCATTAGCCCAGTTCGGAGCAAAACAATAGGACGTTAAACCCCATTTCATTTCATTTCCCTCCCTTTCTCTCTCTCTGGTTTTAACTCGAATAATGATAATTAATAAAATAAACCGAAGCACATTCAAGACAGAATGTCTGACTTCTCAGTGTAGCACGTGACTAAAGTCGTTTGTCTGACCTAATTTCAGAGGGGGGATTTCTCAACTCGCGGCAGGTTAACTTCTACCAATATTATTTCTTGACCCTTTCTACTTGAAAATGCTGTGAAAACATGAAAAGTAAATAAACTTACTAGTCCAGGAAAAATCAAAACATTTGAAGAAGGACTGCATTGCACTTCTACGTTGGACTTTAAAAAACACGCAAGTACAAATTAGAGAGTTGGTTGACAGAATTTGCTTTGTTAAACGGTAAGCGTTTTTTGATTGCTTTTGGTTTGATAAAATAATTTGAGATTGTCGTAATAATGAAATTACATTTTGGGGGAGAGGGGGCGGGCTAATGAGTGAGGCGCTGCTGGCACTAATCAGACGTTCCCGGGTTCCATCCCCGTGTTAACTGAAAGCGTTCCATGAGAATTCTCCGCATGCCCCCCCCCCCCCTTGTCAGTGGTGTAGATAGAATTGCCTGACAAGGGACAATGTTTATATAGTCGTTCGGGTGGGGCAAAAACCAGGTTTCGTGTATGCGTTGGTGTTCCTATAAATAAAAAAAAGCTGACAGTTTGAATTCGATTATCCGGGCAAAATAATGAAATGAAATGAAATGGGGTTTAACGTCCTACTGTTTTGCCCGGACAGCGGTACTACGGCCTATCGAATTCCATCTGTCAAGGGGTCTTTTACGTACACGCCAATCTGTACACGGGAGCTCGGGTTTTCGTCCCATCCGAAGGACTAGACAGCTGTCCTTGTCAGTCCCTCCGTCCTGCATCACTGACAAGTGAGAACCACGCCGGAAAATCTGGAAAAATATCCCTCATAGCGCACTACATGACGCACATGCCCGTTTTTATTAGCACGGTTGATGGAGAAATTACGTAAGACGTTAAATCTATTTTATTTCACACTGCCCAGTGGCTACATATTACATTTTGAATATCTACTTAAAATGTCAGTCAACTAGTTTTGTGTCTGTTCTCAAGCGGAGCTAGTTTTGTAGAGTGTGCGTGAAATAGCTTTATTTAACGTCCGCTTCCATCGAAGTGATATCGCAGACAAGAATTTTGTAGAGAGACAGCGTAACTTTTGTATGTACATACGTAATCAACAACAAGAACAATTATCATTATCTAGGAATAGCGTTACCCAAGTCGATTTGAGCAGGGCTTGATTAAGGCTGTGGGTGGAGTGGGGGGGGGGGAGTCTGCATTATGCACTTTTATATAAAGTATATAATTTATAATTTATAATCTACCATACTGACATACAAATTGTTAAGATCACTTGTACAATTTGCCAGGAATTGGAATGTGGTTTCTAGCAGTCAGCGAGCCACGGTGGCTGAGTGGTTAAGACGCTGGCTCGCTAGCCTGGAGGTCGGGTGTTCGATTCCTGCATTGGCCGAGAAAGTTCATCCAGATTTTCCGGCGTGGTTTCCCCTTGTCAGTGGTGCAGAACGGGGGGGGGGGGGGGGCTGACAAGGACAGCTGTCTAGTGTATATATTGGAATGCACGTTAAAGATCCCCTGGCAGTTGAAATTCGATATAAGAGTAGGCCGTAGTGCCGCTGTCCGGGTAAAATTTCCCTCATAGCACACTGTATGTCGTATGCCCGTCTTCATTAGCCCAGTATAGGAGCAGAACAGTAGGACGTTAAACCCCACTATGTATGGCGTATGCCCGTCTCCATTAGCCCAGTATAGGAGCAGAACAGTAGGACGTTAAACCCCACTGTATGGCGTATGCCCGTCTTCATTAGCCCAGTATAGGAGCAGAACAGTAGGACATTAAACCCCACTGTATGGCGTATGCCCGTTTTCATTAGCCCAGTATAGGAGCAGAACAGTAGGACGTTAAACACCATTTCATTTCATTTCATTTAAGTTAATAAAGATCGTGTACGCTACTCCATCCGTTTATCCTTAGGGGAGACACATATTCAAATTATCTGCCCTTGATGATTGTGCTAATTTTATCGACCACTCTGGGGAGACCGAGGATGACATTAATCGTGCTATGGCGTATACTTACTCCTTATTCGATTTTCAACTGTCGTTTACAATTTGCCAAAGCTATGCTTCTTTGTATAATTTGCTCGGACAGCCTGTGCTCTTCTTTGAATTAAACTGTCAAGGTTTTTTTTACTGATGTGCAAGCCAACTTATACGAGAGTATTTCGCAATATCTCACAATCTGTTTTTTTTTTTTAATTTTTTTTTTTATAAGGACAAGATTATATTTTCACTTATTTGAAAATGTAACTTGTGAATAATTTGAGAGAAAACATTTTCTTTAGAAAATACAGTTATCCCCCTTACCTAAAAAAAACTATCTTTTGATTAAATCACACATGTCGTAAATGAGATGAAATGAAATGGGGTTTAACGTCCTACTGTTCCGCCCCGAACTTCGCTAATAAAGACTGGCTTACGCCATAAAGTGTGATATAAGGGAAAATTTGCCCGGGTAGCGGCACTATGGCTTACTCTTATATCGAATTCAAACTGCCAAGGGATCTTTTACGTGCACGCCAATGTGTACACGGGACCTCGGTTTTTCGTCCCATCCGAAAGACTAGACAGCTCTCCTTGCCAGGCCCTCCGTTATGCACCACTGAAAAGGGGAAACCACGTCGGAAAATTCCGATGGACTTTCTCGGCCAATGCAGGGATCGAACACGCGACCTCCAGGCTAGTGAGCCAGCATCTTACCCACTTGGGTTTCGATTCTCCGTTTCTACGTGACAAGGAGTAGGGTCGCCTGTCCTACTTCGTGGTTTTTCTCCGGGTCCTCCGGTTTGCTCGGGGGGGGGGGGGAGGTCTATAGTGGTTTAACGAGTGCGCGTTAGTTTATAAGGTCCGTCATTGGATCAAGTGGCGTAGTTTTGATTCCCGCGTGTACGTGACAAGGAATATGGTCGCCTGTCCAGCCTTGTGGGTTTTTTCCGGGCCTCCTGGTTTCCACCTACATATAAAGACCTTTACTCGTAAGCAGATTATTGATATAAAACTGTTCCCTACGTTATTCCCGAAATGACCAATGTTCTTGATTTAATTATTAAATTTACGACTGTTTAAATCCAAGCTGTATCCAAGCCATCCGAGGGTCTACAGAGTTGATTTTGTGTTTGTCATGTTAATAAAGGTCTAATTAATAATTTCTATAACATCTGAAGCCTAAACAAAGACCTTCAATAGGCAGATGTAGCTCTTGCATAATGTATGCATAATATGTGTTATTTTATCGTGTGTACCAAGAGCTGAACAAAAGATATGAAAACAAGTAGAACGTCATATTCATTAACTTGTAACCTTTTACTTAATTAGTTTCCCGGGCTGATAAAGCCTAGTGCACACGGGAGACATATTTTTGTTTTAAGTTTTGAAACAACGAGCAATTAAAGATACATTATGGGAGATTAGATAAAGAGCTGGTAGTTCTCACTATAATAGTTAAAAACTAGATAATGTAAAGGGTATTTGCTGAAAATTTCCGTCAAATTGATCCTCTCTGAACCGGGATTTTAGCGATTGAATATTGGGGCGAGCCTCGGTCATCATTACTAAAGTCGGTAGAATAAAAAAACATAGTCTGGTTATCCAATTTTTTGATTTAATTATGAATGGAAGTCGAATAGCCAATCAGAACCTAATCCAATAAACATCGCAGGCTAGGGATGCCATCGAGAGGTCTGGATAAGTTAATTAATGTCTAATTAATAGTTTATATAACATTGCAGTCCTAAAGAAAGACCTGCAATAGACAGATTTAGCTCTTGTATAATGTATGTTTAATATGCAACCAGTTGAACCGGAGTATGGAAGTCCAAACAGCTCTTTATACAGCGTTCTTAATTCTTAGTTCTTAACTCTCTCTCTCTCTCTCTCTCTCTCTCTCTGTGGCCGGGGTATTGGATTGCCTAATGGTTACCACATGCCCGCTGTATCATACGGTCTGTCATTGAGTCAACTGGCGTGGTTTCGATTCCCCGGTTTTACGTGACAAGAGGGTCGCCCGTCCAACGTCATGGGTTTTCTCCGGATCCTCCGGTTTCCTCCCACTGCTAAAGACTGCACTACACGCAAGCCAATTATTGAAATAAGGTTGAACCATGTGTTAGTCCCGAAATGACCCAGTTTGTGTCGAGTAGACGTTAAAAAAAACCCATCTCTCTCTCTCTCTCTCTCTCTTATTCTCTCTCCGTTTTTGCTATAATAATAGTACAAACATGACATAACAACGTTTATTAGCACATGACATCTTAATATAACATTGAGAGTATAAATAGCATATTTCATTCTTAATTTTCTTATACGAAACTATACATGCATTAAACACATTGTAAATAATTTTAAAATCGCTTTCAATGGGTGTTTTGTCTATACCTGTTCACAGATTGGAGAAGTTTCAATGAAACATGCAAACAAACAAACGCTGTCACATATTTTCTCTCACAGCAAAAAACGTGTATTTTACACGCCAGAAATGTTTTCGCGTTAGCTTTGTTCACACAGTCCGATCAACTGTTATTTTAAAGAGCGAGGTCGCGGTTTTATCACCTGGTATCTTTCAAACAGAACTCCGAATTGAAGAATTCGTTGGCGATGTCGTCGACTAAAGTTCGGCATTTTAACACTGAATATTTATTAGTTTGAATTTGTGTGGATTACCGGATAGCACAATGGCTGTTTCAGGTTGGTTGTTTTTATGTTTTCGGTGAATTAATTCATTTTTTTTTTATTCTCAAATTTAAATTGCCCTCTACTAGATAGATAGGCTGTATTCGTACTAAACTTAGATTGTCTGTCTACAGTTAACTCCGCTTGAAAACAGATAAACACGGCTATATCTATTTGTTACGGCCAGGTCAATTTTTGTCAAGGTCCCCGGTCCCCTACATGTAAATAAGGTTAGGACACGTGATTGTAGGTTAGGGTTACACTGTAAAACTTTTTCCGTAAAATTTACGGACAAATGGCTGGCAGCTAGGTTGCCAACCAATGTACGTAAAAATTACGACACACCGTAAATAAATTTTTACGAACATGTCGTAAAAATTACGACCAAAGATTGGCAACCTAGCTGCCAGCCATTTGTGCGTAAATTTTACGGAAAATATTTTACAGCTGTAAAAAAACTATGGTATGATAAGCATCAAAAAAGACATTATTTAAGATTTAAAATAGAATTTAATTATTCAAAACAAAATAAGATACAAAATCTCAAATATGCAATTACATGATGATAGTTTAAAATATAATAAAAGATGACAAAATCCATATAAACTGAAAATTTGAGATTTGTCAGAAAGTAAAGCTAACAACTGGTTGTTTTTTTTAACCTATCAACCACAAATCCATATTTTTTAACACAGTGGATCAAGAACAAATTTTCTATGACAATATTGAGAATGTGTGGAGATTGGACAAATTCTTTGGTTTTCAAGCAGTTTGGTAACATATTTAAAGACAAGGCTCCATGCACAATTCTTCATTAATAATAAGATACATTTATACATGGAATAATTTGTACATGGAATAATAAGACTTGAAAAAAAAAAAAAAAAATCTGTTGCCCCCATTAACAAGGGAAATAACTCCCCAAAATATTTATCAACTTGTCTCAAGGCAGGCAAACAAAAATACCCAGTAAATAACAAATATGTGAAAATTTCCAGGAATGTGCCATATAATGGGTAGCAACAAAATAGTATTATCTATTATAATACTTGTACATGTAAAATATTTACATTATAATATTTAAATGAACTTTTTAATTTCTAACAATAACATTCTGAATCTGTTCTAGAAATATAGTCAGTGTGTTACAATAGTGTTGTAATATTCACCTCAAATCTATCTAGCAAAATTTAACATATTAACAACATGAAAATAAAACTAAAACTATCAGTAAATTATAACTGTAAAACTTGATCTGATAATGAAATCATTCAAAATTTGGGAGATTAACAAATTTGAATTTTAAATTGACAATATAAAAACTAACAATTACACTCCAAAAGTATCAAAATTTTAAAACAACAGCATGAAAAAGATTTCCAATCATTCCAACTTGTTTTAATATTATTAGCTGAGCGTAATCTCTATTTTAAATTTTACACATCCTATCATGTTGCATATTAATATTAAGCATGTACATTCTTTAGTGAGAATAGCATAATTTGATTCAGTCTGGCTGATGGAACTTTACTACTGACAACATATAAAGATGGGTTCCAAGGAAAGTATTATCAGATGCTTATTTCAATAAAAGTATGGCAATTTAGGTATATATGAAAAGTAGAAACCTCCAATCTTACTAGAAAAATACTGAATTCCCTCAAAAGTACCAACGGAGCGCATCTGGGGCAAAAATGTAAGGGTTTCCCTAACAAGCAACCCGATGATTAGGGATTAGGTTGCACACTAAGATTGTCTGATCTCTCAGCGTTAGTGGGGGCTTGATGTATATGTTGATAAACTTGATGGTGAGCTTAAACGTAAAACTGTTTCTGATGTAAAAACACAGAAAAGGTCATGGCAGTGGATATTCCACGAATTTAATTAGGCTTTGACATTTATGATAAATGGACAGTGATTGAAGACAACTTCGTCTTGTGTATACAATGAATTCTCCTTCAGCTTCGCACCCATCCCATTGCTAGGCATCGTGTCAGCCAAGTCATGTGACACAAACATGACTTTTTTTAATAGATTTTCTATAGCAGGAGTATTCCCTCGGGAAAAAAAGTTTTGAGAAGGATAAATAAACCCAATATCCCTCAAAATTACTCCATCCACTCAAAGTTAGACAGTTCATTTATCAATTTTAACACTTTCTGGCATACTTGTGTCTTTCTTCTTTTTTTGGATTTCTGACCATTATCGGGATTAATACCAAAAATGCACCTACAAAACAAATATTGTTATTAATATAAAATTTCAGAAAACAGTCCACAAACAAATAATGAGGGCTGATGCTGACATGCAGTTATTTTGCGCAACAGATTGGTGTTGTGGGCCACTGCCAAAGGTTTGAATGAGAATATGCACACATCACTGTCATTAAAACCATGGTAGTCACTCTCAAAACCAAAGTGTTGCTCAATGTATAATTGGTTACTATTTTTATTGTACAAGCAGATTATAATGGGATTCACCTTTTGCTAATACCACAAGGTCCAATCAGGGAGAGAGAAATGGGGTTTAACATCCACATAACACAAACTAGGTCATCTCTGGACTTGCATATGGTACAATTTTATTTCAATAATTTGCTTGAGAGTATGTAGTTCTTTACAATGGGAGGAAGGCCTGGAGAAAACGCACAAGGTTAGACAGGCAACCCTACTCCTCGTCAAATACAAGTCTTGGATGACAGACCTTATGATCTAAAGCACACAGGTCATATCATTCAGCCAATCAACCCCTCAAGGTCCAGGCAGAGGACAGAAAGTGCTGACTTTTACTGACAATGCCCAATTCCCAACAGTTTTATTATCTTAAAATTTTTCTTTTACCTTTGAAAAAACTCCAGCAACCCAGAGAGAGACTCTGGGTACTCAATGTTAATGATATAGAATGATGCAAAGTACGACGAAAAGGCACTCAAAAATGATGATGTTTTAAGAATAATTATACCATCAACCACTAAATAAAATATGTCACTATCCGCAATAGTTGTGCCTAAAATAAAACATAAAAAATATCTTATTATACAGTCAATAAATTCTTAATGATTTTCAGTTACAAATGTTAGCCCTTCATTGGGGATCACGTGGCTAAGTGGGTAAGACGCTGGCTCGCTAGCCTGGAGGTTGGGTGTTCGATCCCTGCATTGGCCGAGAAAGTTCATCCAGATTTTCCGGCGTGGTTCCCCCTTGTCAATGATGCAGGACGGAGGGCCTGACAAGGACAGCTGTCTAGTCGTACGGATGGGAGGAAAAAGCGAGGTCCCGTGTACACATTGGCGTGCACATAAAAGATCCCTTGACAGTTGGAATTCGATATAAGAGTAGGCCGTAGTGCCGCTGTCCGGGCAATATTATCCTCATAGCACACTGTATGGCGTATGCCCGTCTTCATTAGCCAAGTTCGGAGCAGAACAGTAGGATGCTAAACCCCATTTCATTTCATTTCCTTCATACATTTATTTATATCAAGGCAGACTTAAAGGGGAACAACTCCCAGTATCTGTAGCTGTTTCCACATAATGCAATAAAAACATATCATGGGTAGCTCAATGTGAACATATGGTCAACGTGTCCCAGTCTCCCCTAGATCTTTTACGGATGAATGGAAATTTTCAAATCCTTGATTAAGGTATGATGCAGCTACCAACACAATGTTTTGTTACAAATTTTGTTACATTGTTGTAGTGTACTTAAAAAGCTTTCAAAAAATGGCCTCTGAAAAGCAGACAAGTATTTTGTAAATTGTAACATCGTAATTTTTTGTATTTATTTTGAAAGTAAAAATGTAATAAAAATTATTGGAAAAAAAATTAATACATATTTTTTTTTTTCTCTGGCCGAAAAAATATATATGGTTAATAAATTCAAATGAAAAATTGATGAAAAAAAAAATAGGACCCAGTGTGAGCACTGTCAAGGCTCCAACACAATATTATGCCATGATGTCCAGTTACTATGTCAAAAATCTGTTACATTTTGAAGACGTCAAGAATCAATCTGTATCAAACCAAGATGTATGCCTACTACTATATAAACATTACTTACCTAAAACTGCAATTTTTGGTTCATGCATATCTTTAACTTTATTTTGAACCTCTTGTTTTGTTCTAGTTTCCTGAAATAATAAATAAAGGCCACAACTTCAACCAAGCATTATTACCATGGCATGTGCATGTAAAATTTCAGATCAAAAGTCTGGCAAATAACATAGAATTAGCAAATATAGTTTACAGATTAATAAATTGGACAAGAGATATTTGGTAAGCCCTTTATAGAGAGCTTACAGGGTTGTTTTACTGCCTTTGAACTGAGATTTTATGAGCAATATCACAACAGTTCCGTTCACATAGATTAAAGTTCTTTAACTTTATTTGCAGGAAATAAAATATCTAATTTTGTTTATCTTCATTTCTAAGATATCAATAAATGAAATGGGGTATAACGTCCTATACTGGGCTAATGAAGACGGGCATATGCCATGGTGCTATGAGGGAAATTTTGCGCGGACAGCAGCACTACGGCCTACTCTTATATCGAATTCCAACTGTCAAGGGATCTTTTACGTACATGCCAATGTTTACATGGACAGGACCTCATTTTTTTGTCCCATCCGAATGACTAGACAGCTGTCCTTGTCAGGCCCTCTGTCCTGCATCACTGACAAGGGGGGACCACACCAAAAAAGTAATCAATAAGTACTCACATCAAAATATACAAACAAATCTTCTTCTTTTTCTTTAAAATATTTCAACAATAAAATCGTTAATTGTCTTAGGGTAGCTGGAATATCATCTAAATAGTCAGTCTTGCTCTCTTTAAAAAAAGATAGTATACGACTTGCTCTTCCATTTACTTTATTTGTCATGGTATTTAATAGGTCAATATCGGTGAGGTGTCTAAAATGGTTGATTATTCCCTGCAGCTGAAAAAGGAATGGCCACCTTTCCAAAAGGTCACTAATAGGAGCACTCTCATTTATTTCCTTTCGCTGCAAAGCAAATGTAAAAGATAATTTGGGTTCTACGTCATTCCAGTTGACAACGTCATGATGTTCCCTAAAGATATCCACCATTTCATTTCTACACTGTTCTAAGGCATCAATGTTTTCAATAACTGGACTCCAACTTATGCATCCGTACGAGTCTTTTTTCTTTAAAGTTGATGAAACTTCTGTATCTTTCTCTGTAGTTGTATCGCTATTTGTACCAGTATCAGTTTTACGTTTTTGTTTAGCAAAAGGCGAGCTACCCCTGTTGAGATTATCATTACGTATTATTAATTTACTAGAAAAACTTTCAAATCCAAGTCCCACAATCTGATTGTCTATTTTATCCTGTAGAATACTGTACCTTGATGTGATACGATGGGCTAGGGTACGAAACTGGCTGCACGTTATATGTCGACTTGTTTTTCTGAATTCATCCACAAGTATCCTAACCATTTTCCTTTTTTTTTCTGCACTAAGTGGTTTATTTGCATTTAGGGGGACCAAAATGTCACTAGGTAGTTTCCCAAACGGAATTTCAATTTGCTGTGCCCAACCGGGATTTTTATTAACTGAAACACAATCACTAGCATTTTGATGCGTGATAACAATGTCAGTACCGGAACTTGAGGAAGAAGGCCTAGGACTTGGATTTATGAAAACACTGTCACTGCTGCTTGAAGAGGATGTCCTTGTAAAAGATGTGCAAGAATCAAAAACTTCATCACCATTTCGGCTTAATGCTTGAAATTGTGCTGAAAAAGAATAAAAAATACAACAATTAGCCTAATGAGTAATGTATGTATACACACAGTGTAGGCCCTATGTCGTATAGTATGTCGTAAAGTTGAATGATGGGAATTATTTTTATTAAGTCTTTAGAAGTGAATGATGGGCAATATTTTAAACTTTAAAGTTTTTTTTAAAATCTATACTCTGTGATTTGTATATTATTGGGAGCCACAGTGGCTAACTGAGAAAGACGCTGGCTCACTAGCCTGGCGGTTGTGGGTTTGCTCCAGGCATTCACCTGAGAAAGTTCATTGGGATTTTCCAGCATGGTTTTCCCTATGTCAGTAGATGGAGGGCTTGACAAGGACAGTTGTCTGGTTGTTTGGATGGGATGCAAAACGAGGGGGGGGGGTCAATGCCCGCCTGAAAAAAACGGCTATTTGCCGCAAGTCACATTGGCCCGCTGATTACTAAACATGTACATGTTCCTGTGACGCTCAGGGAGAAAAATTTGCCCACACCGTAAGTGATCAACTTGGCAATTTGATATCATTTTTCTTGGGGGGTTAGATGGCTGAATAGTTAGCACGTGCGAGCTGTATCATTTGGCCTGTCATTGAGTCAAAAAACCGGTTGTATGTGACAAGGAGTCTGGTTGCTTGTCCAGCCTCTTTATGATTTTCTCCGGGTCCTTCGCCTTCGGTTTCCTCCCACTGCTAAAGACCCCTATTAAGCGAATTATTGAAATAAAATTAAACCATATGTTAGTCCAGAAATGACCTAGTCTGTGTCAAGTAGACATTAAACCCCATTTCTCTTTTTAATCTTTGTTGCAAAGTATTCTATGGTCACCTGTGAACTAGAGCAAAAATGCGGAATAGACTTGATCACAGGCAGTACAGATAACAAACCTTAATCTCTCAACACTCTCTGACATCATTATATCTCAACGTTTTTAGCTACGTTCTCGTAGCTAAGGCAGTACCTACAGGTTTTTTTTTTGTAAACACTATTTTATTTCAAATTTATGAAAAGGGATCAGGGAAAAGGCTCGGACCTCGGTTAAATCTAGCTTACTCAATTCAAGGCTACTCTTGGCTTTATACTTCATGCAACGCATTACCAATATCAAATTATTTAACCAACTTATTGAACAACACTCTATCATTTTGGTACAATAATGACAATGACAACGGGTACTAGATTAAACCTGCTGTAATTAAGAAACACGAGTCGACATTTAACATGCAGCCACTTCCGTACACTGTACTCCTGTAGCCTAATCGAGACTACAAACTGTTATTAATACTGTCAAGACCTAAAATGTCAGTTATTCTACATGCCACCCGTATAATGTCCTTTTTTTTTCAAAAAGATTTATGAAAAATACTCACATATAATATGCTTACTAGCACTGGCTGTTAGCCTTGGCAAAATTGAAAATAATTTTCTTCTCTGAATGAGAGATATTCCCTCAAAATCTGTTTCTTTTATGTATATTAAGTCATCCACTGACTGCAAATCTAGTTCACAGAGTTTGCCTATAAATGTATCCAGTGTTGTTGTATCCAAAACCACTCCACTTAACTGGCTTTCATATAAAATTTTCTCTTTTATTTCATTAATAACATTAGACATCGTGTTTGATAGAGATGAAATTACAGTCATTCACTCTGTACATACAGACTGGAAAAGGGTCTAGTGTATCATTTAGTGAAATAAAATGTGTCTGTGAACTATTCTTGTCAGAAACGGAAAATACACCATACACTTGTTCTGAAATTCCCTGAAAAATATCAACAATTGCATAAGGTAACAATCTACATATAACAAAAGATTTGATTTTTCCAAACACGAGACCCTTTTCATTTTTGGAAACAATCAGAATCATACCCTGATTATATTCAGTACTTTTGAATATAACTTTAGTAGAAATTCTGATGTTTGAATTATCACACAAATCCAATTGTTTTACACAGTTGTTAATGCAATCATTAACCAAACTTTCATCGTATGGTACACTCCAGTCATCTATCAAACTGTCGGGAAACAAGTTTCCAACAGAATAATATGACTGAAGCAATTGATGCCTGGTAGAAAGTGTCATGGACAAGTTTTTATAATTTTTCATTTTTCTAGCACATTCTTTAAAGTAGCTGTGCTTGCTCTCAAATCTCATAGTCCATAAGCGAATTAGTGGTCCAAAGTGGATGATAAGTTGAGCATAGTGTAATAAATAATGGTGTTTTGGTTTCAAGTTATTCTCGGGAAAACAGGACTTTCGGTCTTGCAAATATTCGATTGCAGTTTCATTTAAAATGGCTATTTGTCTCTCTGTTATTTTTGGAGTACAAATAAGCTGAATTAATACTTTTAGTTTAATATATAGACACCAAACTTTGTTATTAGTATCGATGATATATGTTCCCATAATAAGGGGTAGTGTTCTAACTAAAACCCAATTTTGAACGGCGTGGCCAACTATTCTGTCTGCTGTGAGACTGAATGGAGCTGGTTTATCCAATGCGTCTGCACCAAGAAATTTGAAATTTGAAAGTTTTCTATTGAATTGATCAACAGTAAACCACTTGACCTCTTTTATTAGAAATTTTATTATGAGATGAAGGTCATATGAAACAACTCCCTCAAATAAATCATGTCCGATACATGGTGGTAAGCTGGTTACCACGTGGAAATTTGACAAGTTGTTGAATACTGAGTTGGATTTAATTCCCATATAATGACAAAGATCAGGATTTTGACTTAATATGCCGAGATGTTCTTCATAATTCTCAACAGTTCTTTTTTCACCCAGAATTGGTATCTCAGCCTTAAGAAAATCCTCTCTTGTTAAGCAACAAAACCTACAAAAGTATGCGCCAGAAAAACTCTCTATGAATCCCCCAATCATATGAGAGCCAAGATTATCTCCTACAATACAATGGAGGAAAGCTTTAACTACTCTATCATTTCCTAGATTTAACCCATTATTTTCAAGATCTTTCAATTCATCTACTATAAAACTAAAAATAAAATCCTTGCCAAACTGTTTTAAATGGCTTTCTTTTACAAGCATTACTAACTGCATATGATCTATGATAGACCTGTGGTGACTTGGGAAATTTGCAAGTGTGAAATAAACACCAATTAATTTATGTTTTTTCTTGGCAGAGCCCAAAGGATTGACCAGCTCAAATGCGTCTTGATATAATATCAATTGAAAACTTTCAGACTCTTTATTAATAAGATGGTTATTCCGAAATAAACCCCCATGTGTGACATCTGTATATGTTTTGTCATTTCCCTCAAAATTGATCTCCTTTCTGTTATCTAATTTTATTTTTTCAGGAAAATGCTTAAAAAGCATTTTCAAGCTTTCTTTGATCGAGACAATGTGCATCTTTTGGAGTTTATTATTGTTATCATATCCTAAAACAATTTCTCTTGGGGCAATGTAAGCAAAATTTGTCTTGAAAAAGGTCAATCGCTTTTTAATGGTTTTTAAGGGCCCTTTGTTGCACTCTGAAAAAACATCTGCAAACAAATCATTCTGTAAACGATCTTTCACCTCATCAGACAGATCCAAATTTTGTAATGTTTCAAATAACTTGTTTTTTACAATTAATTGATTCATGCCATGTAACTGCTGTATTTCAGTTATTATATTTTGTATGAGCGATGCTGGCATTAAATATTTACCTTGCAATTTTAGGTAAAAAAGGGCCAAGTTTTTTAAGTAATTCTCCTGTGTTTCATTATCAATTTCTAGATTATCTAAATGTAATTGGGCTTCCACATCACTCACACCACGATCATCAATGACCTCATGTGGCTGTTGACCAATATCTAGGCCTTGATCAAGGCCTACAGTTAAATTTGTGTCTTCACAATTTTCATTTGATTCAACAATGTAGCATGGGGCCAAGTTCTTCCAATGTTTTGATCGGTGACAACGTGATAAATGTGAAGAAAATGACGATTTTATTTTAAATATGCCCTGACATGCATTAAATGGACACTTAACATGTTCATTAACTGAAATGTGGCCTTTTAGATGAGAAATTAATTCCGGGTATGAATCAATGTTTTGTTCACATATTTGATTGAAACACCTAAACCTAACATCTGAAGAGTTAAAGACGTTTGGGTGTATTTGTTTACTATTATCATTATTAATATGGTTTCTTACAACATGCGATTTAAAGGCTGAATATGTATGAAAAGATCGTTTACAATCTAAATGGCAACACGAAAATTGAATATGTGGTACATTTGCATGGAACTTATAGTGATACACATATTGCTGAATAGATAAAGTCTTAAAAGAGCAATGCGCACAACCATACATTACTTCAAAATATGATTATATTCGCCACTGTGTTCGTTGCTGATGGATTCATCTTTGCCTATAAACTATAACGTTGACTCTTAAATTGAAGTAATGGCACCCAGATAGACTTACGACGTCAGCATAATTTAATCAATTTTCATGGAACTTATATTGATACACATACAGCTGAATAGATAAAGTCTTTAAAGAGCAATGCGGACAGCCATACAATACTTCAAAACATGATTATATTCGCCACTGTGTTCGATGCTGATGGATTCATCATAGTCGTTAACGTTGACTCTTTAAATTGAAGTAATGGCGCCTAGGAAGACCGATGACGTCAGGCTAATTTAATCACCCGTATGTCATATTTACAGAAGGAATTCTGTATTTCTCAAATATTTACAGACTTGGTTCTGTTATCAGGATAACAGAACTGTTCTGTAGGCGTTTTACAGAAACCGGTCTGTAAAAATTACAGAAAAGGCTTACAGTGTAGAGTAACCGTTGGGTCTAGATCCATAGTTAGGGTTTAGGTTTGGGATTAGCGCTAGCCCTGTTTACATCTCGTGACCTATGACGAAAAGTTGAGCTGGCCTTATCATTTAGCACTAACCACACTAAGCTAGTTGACCGACATTTTAAGTCTTAAATCAACGATTTTAGTCGAAAACACTAAGCATAAACTTGGAGAATTTTGAGAAGTATTTAATCTGCTTCCATTTAATGGGATTGAATGGGTTTATTTAGTCTTTGTGTGTATGACAGACGTGAAACGGAGTAGAACCGTCTTACAAAACAATATACTAAGTCTTGGATATGGCGGCCATTTAGGGATTCTAGAAGTATTACGTAGCTAGATCTCCGTGTGGAGAATGAGGGTATACTGACATCTACAAAAATAAAATGAAATGAAATGAAATGGGGTTTAACGTCCTACTGTTCTGCGAACTTTGCTATTGAAGACGGGCATACGCAATATTGTGTGCTATGAGGGAAATTTTGCCTGGGCAGCGGCACTACGGCCTACTCTTTCTTATCCCGAAGGTCTCGTGTTCAATCCCGGTGTTGTCGGCGATGAAGGACAGATTGCATGGCAAGGGACAACGTATAGCCGTTCGGCTGGGACGAAAAATCGAGGTCCCGTGTACACAATGGAGTGCACGTTAAAGAAACCATGGCGGTTAGAATTCGAAATAAAGAGTAGGCCGTACCAAATTTCCCCCATAACAGACTGTATGAAGTATACCTGTCTTCATTAGCTCAGTCGGAGCAGAAAAATTGGACATTAAACCTCGTTTCATTTCAAGTTAGTTATGTATCGCATTTCTTGTCTCTGCAGATTTATGTTTATTTAAAGATACATTAGTTAAGAGTTTAATAAAGAGTTGGTCATTCTTGCTATAATAATTCAAAAATAGATGATAAAAAAAGAAAATATTGAAAATTTCACTCAAGTTACTTTATTCTGAACCAAATTATCACTGTTTGTAGTTTTGACAAGATGTGTGCATATCGGTAACCAGTGCACTGGTATATTCGAGGCTTAGCCTCGCTTTCTCATTTTTAAATTAAATTTTTAAATGGCGAACCATTCTAATCTAGTTAAAATCTCGAGTATCCGATGTCATCGAGAGTGGATTATGGTCTGGATAAGTTAATTAATGTCTAATTGATTTATATAGCATTTCAGGCCTAAAGAAAGACCTGCAATAGGCAGATTTAGCTCTTGCATAATGTATGTTTAAACATAGAACTAGAATACTAACGGGAACGCCCACCGTGTGACGTCACTACCTTATGTGACGGCGGGCCTCTGACGCTGATATCGGGCACAGCTTACTTCCGGTTTCTGCTCGCACTAACAAAATGCCTGGCGCGAATTGGGTTTTGTTCGGATGTTCCGCCTGCAATAAAAGAAATCGGGGTTGATCATTCTATCGCTTACCCAAAAACAACATAGAGTGGAGAGAGAATCATTACGTATCATACAGTCTACCAGATCAGACCCGATAAATGACAAGACCTTGACAATATGTTCAAGACACGTTGAGCCGGATTATTTCGTTGAAAAAGTAAGTGAAAACTCAAATCAAAAGAAATTAATTATGTAGATTCTAGTTGGCAGTCCACCCTGACAACCTACAATGAAGTTAAGTTAAACCCATACTAGCTGAATGTCTGTATTTTCATGTTTGCCCGTTAGATTTTACCCTTTCTCTCATCAAAGTTGTATGCATATAGGTTTGTTTACATTAGTGCCGTAGCTAGGCCTAGTCTACTTGCAATTTGTTATGAAATTGACGAATACTACACCCGATGAGTGTGTGACAGCATGACGAGTCTCTCTCAACAATCTTCTTTTACTTTAATTTTATGAATTACTAATTATTATTTTTTTTTAAAGGTCAAAGTTTTAACTGAGCAGCTCCATAAAAATTAAAATTGTATATTTATTTATGACTGACCTTGACCTGTCAAATCCTTTTACTTTTAAATTCCGAAATAATCTTGTTCCCGGTATGAATAATCAACAAGCATGGAAAAAAAATTAATTATATCTGAACCTTTTGTTTTGTATGTAGGAACCTTTTTATTTTGATTTTATGAATATTTCAGATGTTTACAAAAATTCTGGGTCCACATATCGAAGATTAAAAGAAGGGTTAGGGAGACTATCAACCTTAATTCTTCTACAGAAAAGCGTAACAACAAAGAAATTGAATCCAAGGAAGTCACCGGTAACTTAAATTTCTGTTAACTTAATTATGAATATGAACATTCGATGTTTCCTTATAAAAGATCAGTATATGAACATTTAATTCATCAATATTAAACAGACATTATGCAAGAGCTAAATCTGTCAATTGCAGGTCTTTCTTTAGGCCTGGAATGTTATCTAAATTATTAATTAGACATTAATTAACTTATCCAGACCATAATCAACGCTCGATGGCATCGCTAGCCTGTGATATATACTGAATTAGAGCCCAGTCTGCTACTTCTGATTAAATCAAAAAATCGATAATCGAGACCATGGTTTTTTTTTATCGTACCGACTATAGTAATGCTGATCGAGGCTAGGCCCAAAATTTAATCATTAAATACTTGGTTCAGGGTGGATGAATTTGACTGAAATTTTCAGCAAATTCCCTTTACATTATCTATTTTTTAACTATTATAATGAGAACTGCTAGCTCTTTCTGTAATCTCCCATAATTTTATTTATAAATTCTTGTATGAATATCCGATTCTTCTTTATATTTACTTTTGTAATTTTTTCGATTTTATTCAGAAACCGAGAAAATTATGAATACATGTATCAGAATCCAATTCTTCTTGTTTTAATTGAATTTTATGAATTTGTCTATTTTATTCAGAGTCCAAGGAAAACCGAGGAAACTCAATGTTTACATATGAACGAAGTAACCTTTCAGATGTTGCAGAAATCATTTTTATGTCAAATGTCTGCTTTGTGGCTATGTCAGTCTTCAAGTGATTATATCTATCTGTTTAAAACTGAAGATAAAAGTGTAACATACCATTTAACCATTGACAAGGACTTGAATTGTGAAGTACAATATAATAATTTTTGTTTCCTGTTCAAATTAAAGTTACATCTATAGATTTACTTATAAGAACTGTTGAGAATATGAAGATATGTGGGGGCATAACATCAAAACATTTACAGTCTTATTCTCAATGTCAGCCTACAACTGTAAGATATATCAGACAGGTTGATATTTTCATGAACACAAATAAGTCAACATAGAAATTACGAAAGCTGTGTACTTGCTTCTGTATGTAATAGTTTTGTTGAGGACACTCAAAAAGAAATTTGTTTAAGTTGTCGACAGATTAACAGAGATTTACAGAGAAAGTAAATAGTAATAATAATAGTTTATTTCACATATATGGCTACATAGCACATTGCATATTCAGATTTTGATTGACAATATATAATTCAAAGAATCAATATTTACATACTTGTAAATGTAATTTACAATTCAAAAATAGCTTAGCAATAATATATAGTTGCCATATAAACGAGCAAACAGTGATAGAATATAATCATGTGGTATGAATTTGATTAAAATGTAGATTTCACTCCATTTTGATTTATTTCTTCCAACTGACTCGACTCCACATAGATTTGAGGTCAAATGAGAAGTTATAGAGTTAAACTGTGATCAGTGATGTCAGGTATTTTATTTACAGCACTTTGCTGCAAGCATTTCACACAATGAAAGTAACAAAAACACAGATTATACAGATAATTTCATACAACAAAATAGAAAGTGTATAATTAAACTAAACATTTCCTGGCTCTATTGGAATTAATATCAATATTGGAAGTATAAAAATATAAATGTGATTGAATCTAGGATTAAATCTAGAACTTAATCAGCAGTGTTCTACAGATTTTTTATTTCTTGTTATTACTGTATTGTAGTTAATAAGTAATGAAAAGAAAACAAGGCCCCAAGTTCACAAAGCATTCTCAGTCTTAAGTTAAGGTTTTACTCAAAATTGTTTGTCTTATTTTAACTCAAATATAGCACTTTACTAACTATTGTTGTTTTAATGTAAATATATCAATAAGAAACTGTGCAAAGTTTTGTGTTTCTGGATCAAAGATATTTCTCAAAAACAGTGATTGAAGGTTGAGCAAATTCTTAAGTCTGGGAATGCTTTGTGAACTTGGGGCCAGGTTGATAATAGTAAACAAAATATATCGAGACGCAATGAAATAGCACCTCTGAGATGACGTGGCATAACTTTGCACCTTCCACAAAACCTAGCTTTTTAAAAGCTGCATTATATACCCCACGTGTGTACCAGAAAAATCAACATACTGATTCTGTTGGGTTTAATTTTTTTGATTGAGAATTGTTCGGGGTGCGTTTACGCAATCTTCAAAACATTCTCACATGTTATCATCGTAATATGATGTTGTTACATCCTTAATTGCAAGATTAAAGCAAATCTTTAAAACAAAATTGAGCTGAAAAGTACTAAGTAGGGCGTTAAACCTGGATTTATTTCAAACAAGATTTACATTCATCTATTTATAAAAGTGATGTATTATTTTTATTGCATCTCAGTATAAAATATTAACAATGATAACAAAATTTATATAAATTTTATACAGGTGCACAACTTGTAATGTGTGAGCTTTATAAATGTATTAAATTATTCTTAAATATACATTATGTAAGATTTTGATAAAGAGCTAGCCATTCTTGCTATAATAGTTCGAAGATAAAAAATGTAAAATGACTAATTTGAAAATTTCATTCAAATTACTCTATTGCGAGCGAAGATATTAGCCTTTGAAGGCTATTTTAGAATATTTCAATTAATTGATGATACAAATTTCATCTTAACACACCTTATATAAACAATTCAACATAATGCTTTGAAACGTCTAACGTAAACCTTTTCAAATGAAACTTCGATTTAAAAATATTTTCGAACCCTCTGGACAAGTAAAATAGGATGTAATGGATAATTTACACAACAGGTGGGACACTTAAACATCTAGTACTTAGATAGAGATATTATTTATTTTCTGGAGCTTTCAAGCCAGCAAGAGTGTTATTGTCCCTTTAAAGTAAATATACAAAATAAAAGAAACTGTTCCAAAGCAATTTGGGATCACGTGGCTAAGTGGGTAAGACGCTGGCTCGCTAGCCTGGAGGTCGGGTGTTCGATCCCTGCATTGGCCGAGATTTTCCGGCGTGGTTCCCCCTTTTCAGTGATGCAGTACGGAGGGCCTGACAAGGACAGCTGTCTAATCCTTCGGATGATACGAAAACCCGAGGTCACCTGTATACATTGGAATGCACGTAAAAGATCCCGTGGCAGTTGGAATTCGATATAAGAATAGGTGATAGAGCCGCTGCCCGGGCAAAATTTCCCTTAAATCACACCTTATGGCGTATGCCCGTCTTCATTAGCCCAGCATAGGAGCAGAATAGTAGGACGTTAAACCCCATTTCATTTCATTTCCAAAGCAATTTGATCGTTTGAGAAGAAAAAAAATATATAGACATGGTCGAGACTATAATGAGTTTCATAACTTGCCCATTTGCTACGAACACTATGTGACTATATGCATGTATGTTGTATATGTAGAAAACTTACGGATGCTACTGGAACGACAGGTTGAGATGTCTCAACAAATCTTTAGCAAAGAAAAGCTGTAGTAAAGAATACACATTTTTTTTTTTATAAACAATATTTTTATTCAAGATGTCTGAATGGGATTGGGGAACAGGCTTAGCCTATGTAAAACCCCTTGTTATAAACAAGAAAAGGGCACTGGGAAACCAGCCAAAACTGGCACGGACATGCCAAAGGCTAACAACAATATACACAAAACAATAAATAAAAAAAATAAAATGTGAATGTCATCATAATTTATTAATAATAATTTTATAATATGTAGTAGAAAATGATACACAAACGTGTGTTCGGATAATTTAATGTCCGAAAATAAATGGTTTATACTCCCGATGGTATGTTATATAACTAATTTAAAAAAAACTCATTAAAATTATGAATAACTTACATCTATTACACCGTCAAGTTCTTGAAATTCCAGGACGTCGTACGCTTCTGCCATGTTGACATACGGCCGGAAGTTACTTGTGCCTTATTGACTTCGCGCATGCGATGTACAACATAATTATGTCATCACCGTTATACGTCACCGAGTGGGCGTTCCCGTTAGTGTTCTAGTTCTATGGTTTAAATGATTAATACAATGACGTCATTATTAATGTGACGTCATAATGTATGTTTAATTTCATCTGTGAATTAGGAGATAAACACTTCCTGTTACGTATTTAGAGGGGGTTTATTGTCCATTTAACCATGCTTGAATCATTAGAACACGAGACGCGATAGCGTCGAGTTGTTCTAATGGATAATTCAAGCATGGTTAAATGGACAATAAACACCCGATAAATACGTAACAGGAACGTGTTTATCGATATTGTAGCACAAATATTTTGAGATTTTCTTCGGAACTATTTAGGAAACATTTTTACACTCATTTTAAAAAGTCGTTATTTGGTCACGCGTTTGCGTTCATTTTTCAAAATATTTTCAATAGATTATAGACGGCCTCATTTGCTTACCTGCAAATTTAAAATGTTTGGGTCTCGAGTTGATGGTAAATGAATTATGAAAGAAAATGTTATTCGGATATCGACAACAAAAAGTATTTTTAACGTTTGAAGATTTTTAAAAGAATAAGAAATTAGTATTAGTGCGGTATTTCGAGACGAGTGTCAACGCGATTGAAAGAATTCCGTCCTGCTATCCGAGACTAAAAGAGGAGTAACTCTTGGCAACAAAAATGACTTCGCTTCGGGAGATTCATGTAAGTTTCCAGCCTTTATTATTTTATTTTGCAGATTGTTATCACAATGTTGTAGCTAGTTCTTCTTTACACAATTGAAGTTCATACTTTCATCCTCTAAAATAACATATAAACCATGACAATGATGTCTAGCTAGTCTTAGGATGCCAGTGGTTGCTATATGTAGCTGTTCTGACGTACGTGTTGTCAACAAATGACAATTGGCAATGATAATGATTAGGCCTATATTTCAGCAGCTATATTCGACTCCCTCATTGTATTCTCAAGCGATTCCTTGTGACTAATGACTTATTATTAGGTAGATCATGTAAGTCAGATTTTAAAAGCATGATTTTTTAAAAAAAAATCCACCACCTGATTAATAAAAATTGGTGAGTGAAGCTCGCCTACCAAAAAAGAAAACGGGGCCTACTGACACTGTCACTGCCTAATTACGAATATATTTGGATACCTGAAAACGGTTTTAATTAATTTATGACTGATTTTCTACTGTTTTATGTATTTCAGAAATGTGATTTCATAAAAGATGATGTTTGAAAATGGTGTGATAGTCATGTGTGCAGAATTCCTTGAAGATATTTGCCAATAAAGATTTGAGTTGAAGAAGATCAGAGCACAAAAATGAAAAAAAGTACACTGTTATATTTATACGCAGTAATTCGCCTTGATAATTTAGAGGGGGTTTATTGTCCATTCGACCACACTTTTCGACCAATCAGAATCGAGGAAATTTCTAATTTGTGCTACAATTATTTTTAAACGATGACTGAATGACTACACGAATATTTCTACGATTGATCAGCTTAAATAAATGACATATTGTTTTCATAATGGTTTGTCTTCTTGTTCTTACTCTTAAAAAGATAGGTTTGCATCCAACGAAACATACGCCAACAGAAGCTAAGTCGTCCGGACAGTCATCAAGGGTTGTCGCATATTTTTTCTTTTGTCAGCAATGAGAACATTTACAACATATGAAAATCTGATTACGAATAATAACCAGAAATTGTCAGAAATCATTAGAATTTGTTTCAATTGTTTGTCTCGTGACCTTATGCAATTTATATTAACTTTAGCCGCTAGATATTTCAAAGTGATTATCATCGTCTTCGTCTCATGACATTAAACACTGCGTATATATTTAACGTCAATCGATTATTAACTTTTCCCTCCAGAGGGTTCACAAGGTATTTCAAATTGATCAAGGGGCAATAACTCTGGCAGCAACTAAAAATTAATAGGCTTCTTTGTCTCATGACCTTAAACACTGTATAAATTTAAAGTCAATCGGACATTAACTTCAACCTCTAGGGCGCCCACAAGATTTTTCAAAGTGAGCAATGGTCATAACTCTGGACGTAATTATCGGAAATCGTTGAAAAACCATAGACATCCTCATCTCATGACCTTAAACACCGTGTATAAATTTAAAGTCAATCGGATTTTAACTTTAGCCTCAAGCAATTGTGAACGCCGGACACTGTCTGGCGCCTCTCTGAGAGTAGTCACGCAGCTTTATAGGCGCCATTTTTTCCGCACCTTATTTATTTGCTTTATCACACTTGTGTGGGACGTAAGTGTCTATAAATGCAACTTATTGAGCTCAGATGCGCAATGGATTGAATTATTTCGCAAAACCATATAATTAAAGGAGCTAAGTCTCTAACTCAATATCATCCAAAATCTTCAACATTTAAAACACAAATTATTTGTCAATTTAAAACAACATTGATGCTGTGATCTTACCGGAAAAGGGTGGGCTTCTGATATCCAATATTTAAGACAAAATAAATATTTTATCATTGGTACACGAATCGTGTACCATAATGCGTTTCAGCCCCAGTTCTAGCAAGAGACTAGAGGAACGAGGCTAGACATATTGCACCAAACCAAACGGCTGATGTAGACTGGAATAACCAGACACTAGGAATTTGCACTCGATTGAGACTGCTGGCTTATTTCACGGAACATAACTGATTTGAAATTAGAGTAAAAACGGAAACGATTGAATGTAAATCAGTTTATATACATTCATATTACGGTATTATAATAATTATATGAGTTGCGACCCACTTGTGTCAATTTCTAGGTCCCAAATATTAGCGATTTAGCTCCTTTAAGGTGTAGCGGTGGATGGCCTAATGGTTAGCGCATGATCGTTGTATCATAAGGTTTGGCATTGAGTCAGCTGGCGTGGTTTCGAGTCCCCGGAATTGTACGTGACAAGGAGTAGGGCGTCTGTCCAACCTCGTGGGCTGTCTCCGGGTCCTCCATTATCCCCCCCCCACCCCACTGCTAAAGAACCCTACGCTCAAGCGAATTATTAAAATAAAATTGAACCATATTATGTTAGTCCCGAAATGACCTAATTTGTGTCGCGTGGACGGTAAACCCCATTTCTCTCTCTCTCTCTTTATTGTTAACCGCGATGGGGGCTCAACGAAACCAGTCGGTCCGAGGGCATAGAGTCACCCAGTGCAACCCTGACAATTTTAACCTGGGGCTAAATGCGGAATTATGATAATAAATGGTTGCACACTGCAAAATTTTTAAAATCGAAACCAATAATCAGGGAAAATTGGATACCAGCCATACAATAAGTCGATCACCAGCAGCGTTAACTGGTTTCCTGTCCCACTGAAAATTAAAGTCAAGGAACAAGGAGGATTGTTTAATGGCGCATGTACGTACATTGATGGGGGAGGGGGCACTTTTTCCTAACAGAGGGCACATAGTCACACCCACCCCTATACCCTGATCTCACCGGATTCGAGTGTTATCACTAAATCCTGGTTGTCCCCCGCCTTTCGAAGAAAGCAGGGGACTATTAAAATGGGTTCGTCCGTCTGTCTGTCCGTCCGTCTGTCTGTCTGTCCGTCACACTTTTTGGGACACAATAACTCTCTTCCTAATTGAGCTAGAATGTTCAAACTTGGTGTATGTGTTTATTAGGGTAAGCAGAGATAAGCAATTTGATTGGTTGATGCTTTGGGACACGATAACTCTCTTCCTAATTGGGCTAGAATGTTCAAACTTGGTGTATGTGTTGATTAGGTCAATGCCTTGATGGAGTTCGAAGATGAGCATTTTCCGCTTAGGGTAAGCAGAGATAAGCAATTTGATTGGTTGATGCTTTGGGACACGATAACTTTTAATTGAGCTAGAATGTTCAAACTTGGTGTATGTGTTTATTAGGTCAATGCCTTGATGGAGTTCGAAGATGAGCATTTTCCGCTTAGGGTAAGCAGAGATAAGCAATTTGATTGGTTGATACTTTGGGGCACGATAACTCTCTTCCTAATTGAGCTAGAATGTTCAAACATGGTGTATGTGTTGATTAGGTCAATGCCTTGATGGAGTTCGAAGATGAGCATTTTCCGCTTAGGGTAAGCAGAGATAAGCAATTTGATTGGTTGATGCTTTGGGACACGATAACTTTAGTTCTAATTAAGTGAGATTGATGAAACTTGGTGTATAGTTTAATTACAGTAATACCTTGACTAAGTTTGATAATGAGCATTTTCTGCTCAGGGTAAGCAGAGCAATACGCAATTTGATTTTTATATGTGTCCTCTAATTATTTTCCTATTTCGGCGGGGGACATCAGCCTCACTGTTGGCTTGTTTCTTTTGTTTTTGGGGGGGTTGGGTGGCTGAATGGTTAGCACGTGCGCGCAGTACCATAAAGTCTGTCATTGAGTCATCTGGCGTGGTTTCGAATCCCCGGTTGTACGTGGCAAGGAGTAGGGTCGCCTGTCCAACCTCGTGGGTTTTCTCTGGGTCCTCCGGTTTCCTCCCACTGCTAAAGACCCCTATGCACAAGCGAATTATTGAAATAAAATTAAACCATGTGTTAGTCCCGAAATGACCTAGTTTGTGTCGAGTGGATGTTAAACCCCATTTCTCTCTCTCTCTCTCTCTTTTGTTTTTGCAAACACGTCCTACCCTGCCTACCTTGCCTCTGATGAAGTCATACACTTATATAACCTCTCTTACATAACATAATAACACGATATTTTAATATAGCAATCATTCATTTCATTTTATTAGATATGAACTAATATGTGTATTGAAATTTGCATAAATCTATACAATCTGTTGTATATATAGGCTATTTTCAAATTTATAACTTTATTAAAAACGATTTATATTAAAACTGTATTTTCATAAATCTATACAATCTGCTGTATATAGGCTACTCGGTTTGAGATCTTACATGATTTATTTTGAAAATACGTTATGGGAGATTAGATAAAGAGCTGGCAGTTCTCATTATAATAGTTAAAACTAGATAATGTAAAGTGAATTTGATGAAAATTCCAGTCAAATTGACCCACTATGAACCGAGATTTTAGCGATTGAATTTTCCGCCTAGCCTCGATACGTTATGGGAGATTAGATAAAGAGCTGGCAGTTCTCATAATAGTTAAAACTAGATAATGTAAAGTGAATTTGCTGAAAGTTTCTGTCAAATTGACCCACTATGAACCGAGATTTTAGCGATTGAATTTTCCGCCTAGCCTCGATCATCATTACTAAAGTCGGTAGGATATAAAACATAGTCTCGGTTATCCATTTAATAATTAAATTATGAATGGAAGTCGAACAGCAAACGGAACCTAATCCAATAAACATGACAGGCTAGCGATGTCATCGAGGGTTGATTATGGTCTGGATAAGTTAATTAATGTCTAATTAATAATTTAGATAATATTCCAGGCCTAAAGAAAGACCTGCAATTATGGCGGGGTATCAGGTTCAAAATGCGATCTGCGGTAGAAAGTAGAAAATAAAAAGCAAAAGAGAAAATTCTTATCCAAAATGGACATTTTCGTGGTGCTTTTCAACTTTAAGTCGTAAATATTTTACTTTCAACAACAGAATTTCTACTTTCAACAACAGAATTTTTACTTTCAATAATCAACTTGTATGTTTACGGTTATATTGATTGAGTTATATATATCTGTATAACAGAACACAGTTTTTTATGGGATACAATCACTGGTTTATTCTAAAAGCACGACGTATATCTGTATAGTACGTAACTAACGTACGAAAATTAAATGGTAGCTGGCCTTTTCCGCAGGTAGCGTGTCTCTGATGTTCAGAATAATATCTGTATATGTGTTGCCTTTTACTGTGTGAAACAAATTTCTTCTGGCCCAGAGAGAGAGAGAGAGAGAGAGAGAGTTTAACGTCCAATAAACACAAACTAGGTCATTTCGGGACTAACATATTGTTTAATTTTATTTCAATAATTCGCTTGCGCGTAGGAGGTCTTTAGCAGTGGGAGGAAACCGGAGGACCCGGAGAAAACCCACGAGGTTGGACAGGCGATCCTACTCCTTGTCACAGTTGAAACCACGCCAGTTGACTCCATGACAGGCCTTATGATACAGCGCGCACGTGCTAACCATTCGGCAATCCAACCCCTCCATTGAACAAAGAAACAAAGATGTAATTTTGACTAATGTTTTTATTTCTCTTAAATTCCTATATAATATTACACAATGACCTTACGTCATAGCACAGTTAGGAAAAAGGGAAAAAAAACATAAAATAAATTGAGTAGAATTCCAGATAATAAACTACATTATTATTCTATTAACCAATTTTCCTACGTATGGGGCGGCTTATATTTCTTAATAATAGTTATTTCAATAAATGGCACGGACTAAACAAAATACCAAGCCAAATGATTATATTAAACATACATTATGCAAGGGCTAAATTCCCTATTGATTCCAAGAACAGGAGTATTAAACATACATTATGCAAGGGCTAAATTCCCTATTGATTCTAAGAACAGGAGTATTAAACATCTAAATAAGC